TAATTTGAGGGGATTCAAAGGCATAGCCAACCACTCAAATGGACAAGCTTTAACACTACTTGCCGTGCTTCAAGCCTCCAACGTCTTGATATTGAAGGCCTTTTGCCAACGACAACCTCTCCTCAATAGCACGGACCATAGCCGTTTTCTAGCTGGTGGTACGACATTCACGATGGGAACTTTCATCGAAGAATGCAGGAGATTTCAGCTTACTCCTCGACTGTGCATCTTGGGAGTCATAGTCTCTGCCAATAGGTCCTTAGTTAATCCATCGCTCCCGTTATCAGTCGTCTTGTCGCCATCTGATGGTAGGAGACCCAAGACTTGCAAGCCCGTCTCCGAGATGGGAAACAATCCCCGCAGTATTGAGGGATGTTGATGAAGCTATATCAAGTAGATCAGTATCATCATGCGGTTACTATTTCACTATCATGGTATTCCTGCGTCCTGCCAAGATCGGACATATACGAAGAATATGCCATGGGATACGCAGACTTGCGGGGCAAGAGAAGATAAAGATTGAAAGCAGCAACAGGAGATTCTCAAAGACCTTGATCCGGCGTCTTCGATATTATCCTTGCATTAGGATGTCACTATCGACAAAGAAGGGACATGCTGTTGGCGACCAAACTTTTGAAATCAGCCATTTCATCGATTCCTGTTTATTCTTCAGTCCTGATACATGATCTAGTGGGGGTTAATTTGCTCATTCTCAACAATTGAGACTCTAGACTCACTTGATCCAAGGCTTTGACCCCATTTCCCCCTCATTTCTTTGGATTGAACCGATCATGCGATACTGCAAGTGCTCAAATCCAATCTTGTAATTGCTATTTTACTCGTGAGTTCTTTAAAGATGCCAGTTCTCTTATGCAGCCACGGACGAATCTTCACTGCGGATGCATCGGATGGGTTCAATAGATCGTATTCAAATGAGGGGGAGCGTAGGATTTGAATGTTGCCCCATCAGCCCTTGGCTTTAGTAAAATTGAGGGCATTCGCCTTGCTACAGCTGCAAAATCGTCTATATATACACCTCAAATCTCCATGAAAGAGCAAGATCAAAGCTTCCATATCCATCATCATTTACTTACTTACTTACCAAAACTCATACTCATTACAATTCTCTCAATAGCACCACAATGTCTTCTCTTCTAACCACAGAGCTTGCTTGCACTTCTGCTCCTGATCAAGTCCTACACCTCTTCTTCCAGGAGGGCCAAAATATCCTTGAAGCGCGATCTCCAGATGGTGGCAATGTTTGGACCACTCAAGACACTGTTATTTCCAAAGATGGTGATTACAATGGTTCTTCGATGACATGTTATTATGTAGACAAGGACGCGAACTTCGATAACCAGCCTTCAATTGTGTCTTGTCCCACTATGCTTGTATTCATCTGCTGACGCAACTTTCAGATTCATCTTCTCTACATTAACAAGGACAAGCAATTGATGGAAAAAGTGAAGCGCATGAAGGGGGAAAATCCAATCTGGGAGGACGTCAAGATTTCAGACGAAGTCAAGAAAGGCCCAGAGCAATATTCGAGATTGGCTAGTGGGGCTTTCAATTCAGGTAGTGGATGGAATCCAAATGGTTCGCAGTGGGCCTACTTTTCAGCGTGAGTTACAATCTATAGTTCTTGGTTTTGGAAATTCACTAAATTCAATTAAAGTACCAAGGACGGCAAGATGGGCATTGTTGAAATTAGACGCACTCCAAAGGACCCATGGCATACTGAGACTATTCTCCCTGAGAAATGGGGCGAGGAGCTCCCAGGTACCTCCATAGATTGCACAATCTCGAGCGGAAGAATCAGGATGTTCTTCCAGCACCATGACTATAGCATCCGTTTGTTTGAGAACCAAGATAACAAGTGGCATGGTAAGTAGAGACACCCACCTATCATTATGCTAATAGTTTAGAAGCTAACCTTTTTCTAGACCGAGGCGTCTACGTCGAAAAAGACAAGGTTCAAGCCACAACACCAATTGCTTGCACCATGACTAAGGACGGAAAGGTTCATCTTTTCTACGTCGCAAAAAACAACAAGATTGTTCACTGCACCGATGGAAAGAAAGAGGAAGAATTGGTCAATTTCTTCCCGGGCTCAAAGTTGGGCGCCACATCAGTTGACAACAAGATCACCTTGTTCTTCAGGAACTTGAACCCCGTCAATGAGGTTGGTACATTGGAGAATGAGAATGGCTCATGGAAGCATGGCAGCACTGTCATCCGTGCATGATTGATAGTGAATGATTAGGAGGAAGTTCTTTCTTATGTTAATTCAGGGAACTCCCGCATGAGGAGGGGAAAAGTTGTTAACTTTCTTTAAACACCCAACCACAATCAGTCATGTCGGGATGATATTATGAACAAATTCACATTCCTTGCAATTTGGTTCACGATCAATCAGCTATTAGTTACCTTTCCTTTCAATTAAGTCATTTGTCTCCCCGGAATATTGTTTTATCTACTCACTGTGACCTGATTATGAAATGTTCTTGCAATGGTACTTCTAATAATTAAACCACGGTAATCGTATTTGTATGAATTTTAATGAGTTCTTCCTGCTCAACACGATCTCATGGAACGAATTCGTTCGATCCTTACCACGTGATGTTAAAGGGTTCAGGAACCGAATACCAAACAGAATGCAATTTCTTGGCATCATTTCTACTGTGCCAATGTAATCTTGGCAACTACTAATGAATGACCACTTCTACCTATCAAGCTCATAGTGATAGCACGTGTTGCCTGAAGATCTGATCGACTGACGCATCATGTGCTAGCTTTAACAAACCCCTTCATCTGTTCGTGATGTCATGTGACTTTTATCATTAACATTGTTAGATTTTGACCAGATAGTCTATAGATTCTCCTTGTATTATCTGCAATTTCTACCAGGTGTTCTTTGACACATGTGCTTTCAATACAGTGAGTGTATCAGTCGATTGGTCAGTAACTATCTCAAGGAAGGGTGATATTTTGCCATCTCATACCGCCTTTAGAGGCTTTGAATAACACTCGGATTCGTCAAAAGCATCTCTAACAAATATTTTGAAGATTTCTTCCTTTCTATCCATATTCAGTTCTTGGCTTAGGCATTCACCAGAAGCATCAGACTCTTTCACAATGATTGATTGAATATGAAGATTCGAGGCAAGGATCGCACATCTATAGTGATGCCTATGGGGGCTATGTTCGTTTTGTGGTTAGCAAGGCTGATTCCTTCACGTAAAATTGGATTGATCAACAGTGATCTGACCTACAAGCATTCTCAAACCCTGTCTGGTTGAATTTTTGCCATCTTGATAATGGATTTATATCTATTTGAATGAAGGTCTCCCAGTGAATCAATAACATTTGGTCTGTGACCCCTCTATATTATTGATTAAATGACAATCGACCATAAACTTATCTAGAATTTCCATCACAAGAATTATTGCAAAACTACAGCAGATCTCAAAGAGAAGCTGCAAAACTCTACAATCTTTCGCATTCGACGTAATTGCAATGGGCGCTAAAATCCCCGACGATACTTCTGCTTCGTCAAAGACGATGAGCCAATCTTTCACTAGCTCGTATCCTGAGAGCCAAGCGCCGTCAAACTCAAATTCCTCGGGTGCGACACAAAGATTTCAACAGCAGCCGCAGCCCTCTTTCGTGATCGGCGGAATACCATACCTTTTCCCATCGATTTTTGGGGTTTACAGGGATGGTATGAGAAAACTTTGTCTCGCGGAACACCATGTCTCGACACCATTTATGTCTATTGCTGTACATTCTGGTTTTTCTGGCGAGCCCTCGATTATTCTCTCCTCTCCTACAGCAGTGATGGGAACTGCAGAGCTCCACACATTTTCCTCCAAGACTGAGCTCATTATCGGTAATACCTCATCGACTTTACACTCTTCAGGCTTCATTTCACCGGTCTATGACTTCACCTATACATTTGACGATGGACGCCAGGAATCATTTCAGTGGAAAAGAAGCGCCGGCGCGGCAGTTGCAGGTTTAGGCGGCAGGAGTAGGGGGTACAAGCTTGTGAGGGTCCTTAACGGGGAGGTATTAGCGGCTTGGACACATCCAGGCGGCCCAAGTATCGATAAGATGGCGAAGATTGGACTGTTGGATAGTATGAGAGCGCTTGGCTGGGGTGAAAGATGGGAAGTAACGCTTGTGCTATCAGCCATAGCACTTATTGAAAAAGAGAGAAGGGCAAGGAACAATGCTGCTGCGGCGGCGTAGGGACGGTTTGAACTTTAGGGCGAAAGTCGGAGGGCCCGATATGATACCACTTGTTTTTGGCGGATATAATGGGAGTTTACCTAGCTTGGATATAATTTGAAATTTGGTCAGCATTTGATATGCACCACGAGATATGGTTACAATTTTCACCATGACTGACTTGAATTCACTATCGTTCTTTCTGTGAATTTCAAGACACAATGACTCCAGTGAGCCAAGTTGATAGATGAGAAACTACTTCAATCGTTGAACAAAAAAGGCTATTTTTGGAGTCTCTCTAGAACCCAAGTAGATTCTTCGATTCTTCGATTACCCCGAAGATGATTGATTGATTACCCTTGATTAATTTCTTTCTTTGTACCATGAGAAGTTTCCCGCTAATTTGTCGTGCCATGTGTGTACCAACGAACCTTTGTTTTCGAGAACGACAAAGGGACAATCTGTTCGGAGTGTTCCACATGGCGAGAAAAAGTTTCTCAAGAAGTTTTCACATCACCGAAGTCATTGGTCATAGAAGTATTTTTTCCATCAGACTACAAATTTTTCTGGCGGTCTGGAGGGAATAAATAATTTTGTAAAATTTCACCATGCAAGAACAAAGGAAGACATCGATGGCAACAAACTAGCCTTTTGGCGGTACACTAACTCTTCTTTCATCAATATGATGGCTTCCTCACCCATCAACTATCCAGATTTTCTTGTCACCACCAAGTGAGATCCAAGATATCACCATTGCTTCAACTGCAAAAATGTCACATAGTCCAAGCAGTCCAATTGTCCGTCCGCAGGAGGATCACGAAGGCCTCCAAGTCGTCCCCGACGACGGTCTGCAAACCCCAGACCCAGAAGAATCCCCCACAGCCAAAGATCTTAAATTCCAACCATATTCCGCTGGATCCGCCTATGGCGGCACCTTAAACGTTCGCGAACCTGGTTACGACGCCCCACCAGTCCCGGAATCGCCCCCTCCAGCTTTTCATCTCATAAACGAATATAAATTGGGTCATAACAATACGTTACCTGTTGAAGATACGCCTCCGCCACAGACCATCAAAAAGAAACGAGTGTGCGGATTGAAGAAGAGAACATTCTGGCTGTTGATAATATTGTTACTGATCGCGATCATTGCATTGGCCGTCGGTCTAGGTGTAGGACTCAGTGGGTCTAAATCATCGACCTCTTCTAGCCCCTCAAATTCTAGCTCCTCAACCGAGTCTACAACTGCCACAGGCACATCCTCCGCTGCACCATCTGCCTCTTCTCCGATCGGTCAGACATGCGTCAAAGGTACAGGACCGGGAAATTATCTCGGTCTCTGTGACTTCTCCTGTAATTTCGGCTATTGTCCCTCTCCCTGTTCCTGCGTCCAGTTTTCCTCAACCGCAGTTCCACCGCCTCCTATCTCAAACACACCTGGATTCCCACTACCAGGACTAAATGCAGATTACTCCGGCTTGTGTAGTTTTACTTGCAATCATGGATATTGTCCTGACGGAGCTTGTACCACGGATTCTTCGGCTGCCGCTGGAAATTCATCTTCGAGTGCGTTATCGACGTCAAGTTCGACATCTTCAACACTGCCGACTTCGAGCCTGGCGCAGTTGACGTTGACAGCGCCAACAAGTACGGTGGTTGTTACTTTGCAGGGCTCGCAGACTAGTACGGTGGTTGTAGTACCAACTTTGACTGGCTAGTATTGTCATTGCGGTATAAGTGGTAAGATATTAAAAAAAATTTATCGGGATTCGACGATCTGAGTTGTATACTAAAGGATGTATATCAGAATGTAAAAATATCGGGAGGGGGAAAGAGGCTGACGTTTTTATGCCTATAGATTTGTGTACTATATATTTCTTATGTTCGCTTCCAATGTGTATAAATTGAATGGGCTCTCAAAGACGAGAAGGATTGATCAAATTGAATATAGAATTGTTTAGACCTAGAAAATGAATCAAAGACTTTATCATTATTTGCAAGTGTATTGAGATTAATCAGATGAGGTGGCCCATTTAGGAGAATTTCAAACTTATACTTGAAAGTTGACATTTGTTGATCTCGAAAGTTCGAGTGAGATCAGATTTCCAGTGAGTAGTCCGCATCTTTAACGGAAACTTCGTCATTCTGGCAAGTCTGGTAATTTTCGTGATATCAAGGCTCAACTCAACAAAATCGAGATCTAATATTTTTGATTGAATATCAATGATCAGACGATGTGACTTGTTTCATTCCAAATCTACCACTATTGATCTAGCTCATGCTTCATGCAAAGGCACTTTGCACATGCACTGCAGCAACGCATACATCCCGATTGAATTAGATGATTACAGAGTGAATGAACAAATTCGTTATAATTGAATTATCTTTGTTAGAATTATTTGGGAAATGAGCTACTCCTCTTGTACTATTCACTTTGGCTCTTCTCGATACGAATAATCGAGAACTTGTGAACTATTGAAATAAATTGCAGGTAGATGTATCCCACTGATAAAACTAGATGAGAAGCAGATATCACACGTCGTTTGAAGATCATCTACTTCATAATGTAAGATTAGGTACTTGCCCGTACTTTCTTTCTTCTGTAAGGCACCTAGCTGTGATACAAGTTACACTGCTTTGATTCTCTTTGACACTAGTGCTTTATTCAGTTCCGGCTACCCCTCTTTGATTCATGCGGGGTATTTCATGGCATTCGCATTCTACCGAGGCCGATAACGCGCATTTGGACAATACACCAAAAATAGATTTCTGCCTAATGTGTTTATAGAAATCTTATTCTATATAATAGAATTCAATCTTATTGAAGGTTTTTTATAAAAAGAATTATATCATTGAGTAGCCCTTAGGGTTAGCTTTATTTATCTGATTTTAGAATCTATTTTGAAGATTTCTATAAGAAGTGTATTAATATTTAAAATCTGTTTTAAAATAGTTTTCTTTATAATGCATAGACCACTCTAGGATAAGCGAAAAAAGCTTAGTAAGAATTCTTATCTGAAGCTTATCTCGCTTAAATAGTATGACTATCGTACAGGACAATAGCATATCACGATGGAGGGGAATGATTGGACAATAATAGTATAAGTATAAAAATGTATATATCTCCTCATCTACAGTTAGAACTGATCTCTTCTCGTAGAGAAGAGATAGGATTATATACTGGGTAATCCTCGGGTTCCGGTCACGGGAGCGGTGATCAGTTCTGCGGCCGATCCGGTTATCGTTGTTCCGCTCCGGAGTATTCTATATAATGAATCTCTGATCATCACATGATCTGATCCACGTGGGATACAACACTGTTTCCGTCACAATGACTAATATAGCTTTAGATAGTTTCTATAATATTGAAAAAAAAAGAATTCAATTCAGTACACAACTTTAAAGGAATTAACAAAATAAAAGAAAAAAAGATTTATTCATTAATTAGAATTTAAGGAATCGATTGATATATTTGTTTTTGAATTATCTCAAAAATTAAATTTTGTATTCAATTCTAACTACTTTTATTATATTTAGGAATCTGTTTTATACTAAATACCTCAAATATTAGGTTTGATGACTAATTAAGCCTCGAATGATATCATCGATACTAAGCAGAATTCTTTAATCCAGTACACAACCTTAAAGGAATTAATGAAATAAAAAGAAAAGAGATACACTTATTAATTAGAATTCAAGGAATCGATTGGTATAGTTATTTTTAAATTATTTCAAAAATTGAAATTTATATTCAATTTAATAATACTTAAGGAATAAAAGACTGAATATCGAAATTTAATCTTTTTCAAATTTATTAGAATATTTCTATATTGAATATAAATTTCAATTTTTGAGATAATTTAAAAATAACCATACCAATCGATTCCTTGAATTCTAATTAATAAGTGTATCTCTTTTCTTTTTATTTCATTAATTCCTTTAAGGTTATATACTGGATTAAAGAATTCTCATTCTTAAATATACACCACTAAATTCTAAATACGGTTTTAGCTTAAGCGAAAATCTATTTTTGGTGTATTGTCCAAATGCGCGTTATCGGCCTCGGTAATTCGCTTACTGTGATGCCAGAATTGCTGCTGCTCATTTTAATAATCTAAGGTCCCACCCAATTCGACAATTGCGAGTTCCTTCTTCCTCAAACAACTTCCTCTTAACCACAAGATCATAGCAAAACGGCAAAATTCAAACACAACAAACTTTGAACACTTTCTCATCAATCAGAAATCACCTCAATTATGTCTGGAAAGGGTACTTCTGGCTCTAGTGGCTATGGCGGTTCGTCTAGCTCTGGTAACTCTCTCGGTAGCCCATATACTGTCAATAGCAGTGGTACCAACAGCCAAGTGAGTTCCCCACTGCTCGCATCTTTCTCTTCACACTCAATCCTCCTTCCATTCTTCGAACTACGGACTAACCCTCAAATTTTCAGGGCAACAGCTATGACAACCGCTCCACTCCCTCTGGCGAAGCTTATCACTACAGCAATAGCGGTATGTCGCCCTCCTTGACCCTACTTGCCAAACCTTAGATTTTCCTCTACATAATGTTTGTATGCTGATACCTCGCGCGAAAGACGGTTCTTACTACTATGCCAATGGTAATGGCTCCACCTATCACAACGGCAGCAGCGGTTCTACCTATACTGCTCCCGACGGTACTTCATACAAGAAGTAAGCTAGAAGCTCTTGCTTCCGGCTATTCGGTGGGCATTCCTACGATGGGTGTTGGTTTGTACGCGCCAGTTCCAGATAGATAACCGGTGGGCTTTTTGAAGGATAGAATGGGTTATCAGGACTCATATCTCGATTGTTTTCGGGATATGATCGTTCAGCTTTGCAATCGAATTGACCTGACTTTGCTTCTGAGAATCATTGTTTTATCTGCCGTGTGCCTGGTGTGATGTGAAGTTATTTATACTGCAATTGCTTTGTTCTTGATCTCTTCACTACCAAATTCAAGCTTACACTTTACAGTGCCTTGGATAAGAACCGCCCAGTAATTTTCTTGCCAAGACCTTTTCTCTTAGGGTTAGTGGGATAAAATCTCAATCTTAACACGATCTTACTTGCAGATCTCGAGACAATAAGTGGCATTCCTTGCTAAGAACCATGATGAGTAATGGTAGGATGCCGCCTATGGTTAGTAGCCAGCAAGAATGAAATGCTGGATCCGATACTCGATTTACTGAATGAAGTTTGCCACCTGGTGCACCAATATAGCTATTCGCCCAAAAATAGATTTTGGAAATCCTATATCATATCCATGACCTAGCTTTCCAAACATACAAATCCTCTTTCAAGACTTAATCAAGAGCAATATATAGCTACGCAAAGAAACCAGCGAACAATCAAAGTATCCATAATACCACACGATTCGAAACTATCACGCCTGTTCCGTAAACACAAAGGAACAACCTATAGAATCCACTACTTCATACATGAGAATGAGATAAGATCTGACAAATTTCCCGTTTCATATCATGGTTTATATGCTTGACTTGACCACCAATTTCGTCTCCTCGGAGCTCGGTTGTCACGCGCTACTTATAAGGATACTATTCATGTGAATGACCCCCTTGCCACTCGCTTAAGCTCCCTACTCCCTATTCCCTGCAGATTCTCTATTCATCTATTTGTGGATTGTCATTTCGTTTATTCTTCTCCTGTATATCATCTGGAGCATCGGTTGTATGATAATATTCTATTATTTTGCGTCTTCTTGATAATAGTAGTAATGCTCGGTACATGTAATCTCCATCTCTCTATACGGTGGAAGGATCAGAAAAAGGATGGGTACTACACGTCAAACAGGGAATCGTGATATTTATCAGCTATGCCAACAAAAGCGTACCTCCAGAAGAAAACAAATGACCTTGAAAATTAATGGTATCATTTTATAGCTCAGAAGCAAATATTTACATCTACTAACTACAACCCCCCAATAGTCCTTTACTTTACTTCACGATCTTGGACTTCTTCTTGACCTTCTCGACCAAACTACTAAGATCCGCCTTATCTTCTTTCTCTCCCTCAGCCTTTCTCTTCTTATTCTTCGTCTTCACTTCAACCTCACCGTCATCTTCTCCGCCTCTCTTCCTCCTTCCCTCTTCCAACAATTTCTTCATACCCTCTGTGCCCTTAAACTTTGGATTGCTGGGATCAATAGCATACTCGTGATTCTTGAAGATATCACCGAATCTCTCATCACCAACATCCATCTGGAAATTTTCCTGTAAGCCTCCTCTCTTACTCTCAATTTCTTCGCCCTTCTTTCCCTTTCCTTTACCCTTCTTCTTTTTCGCCTTCTCGGCGCGTTGAATCTCAGCAATATCGAAATGGTCCAGATGTTCTGCCTTATCCGTCGAATTGTCCTGCATAAGCAATTCCAACTCTGCACGATTCGACGCCTTTTCTTCCGCTTCCTTAAGTTTCGCATCGTGTTTCTTCTTGCGTTCTTCTTTGCGTAGTGATTTTGCTGCTTTGGATTTGGTGGCTTCATCGGTTGCAAAGAAAGGATCGTCGAATCCAAGATCTTCTTTGGCTTCGACTTCTTTCTCCTCATCAGCAGGAGCATTTGGATCTTTTCCTTCACGAACGGCCTTTGCCTTTTCTCTCCTGCGGGCCTTGCGTTCCTTTTCTTTACGGATGTATGCCTCGGCTGTGGTTTCATTAGGTATAGGTTCATTTTCGAAAACATTTCCTTTGGCGGTGGCGCTTAAACCGGCTGTAAATGTAATCTCCATGTCACCAACGGGACCACTCTCTTTCTTCTTTTTGGTTGGCTCATCCCCGAGTCCGAGAGCTGCGCGAAGTTTTTGTCTCTCGATTTCCTTTTTAGATAATTTAGGAGCATCTTCGTCGGCCTCTGCTTCTTCTTCCTCATCGTCCTCCGAATCACTTCCTAGGTATGCCCGTAAATCGTTTTCGCCAATTTCCGCGCGACTACCTGTGAATGCTCGATTAATTGCATCTTTTCGGCTTGCTTCCTCAGGGTTCATATCCCATGTAAGTTTGACTTTGGAATGCTGAAGCGCATCTGTAACGAACTCAGTAGGTTTATATCCAGAAGGCACCTGTTCACACTCGTCTCTTGGTTCATCATCGAATTCCGTACCATCGGGGATGAATCTTAGATCGAAAAAGTTGGCGGAACTCAAATATTCTGTGCCGTCGCATTTCTGGTAAATATTCTCTGCAGTTTTCTCGTCCGAACAAACAACAACGGCATAGAAATATCGAAGTCGTTCGAGTTGATATTGTCGTAGTGCCGCGCCATCAAATTCATTACCATCATCTGCCTTTTGTAAATCCTTCTTAATTTTCTCCTCTAATTCTTCGTCATCGGTTTCCTCATCATCCTCAGAGTCATCTTCATCCTCTTCTTCGTGCTTCTTTGCGAAAATTTCTTTTGGTGGGCCCTCCAATTCTTCTCGTTCCATCCTTTCCTTTCCATACTCAGACTGGTAAATAGAAATCTTATGAATCTTTCCACCAGGATTGACGAAACTCTGAAAAACAGCCATTAAATCCACCGATCGAATATTGTCCCAATCCAAATTAACTACCGCGATTCTCGAAGAAACCTTTCCCATTTCGACTGCCTGCTGCTCTGCTTGCATATCTGGAAAGGTAGCTTCCTCTTCAATATCCACTCCTCCATCTTCTTCTTCATCTTCATCCTCGTCTTCCGAAGAAGAAAACCCACCACCTCTGGCAGGATCATATCCCGCAGCCGCTTTTTTCAATTCCTTTTCCACTACCTCGTCGTCCTCCACCTCCACATCTTCTCCGCCCTCATTCTCATCGTCACTTTCACTGTCCTCGTCTTCTTCATCCTCATCAACATACAATCTCTCCAGCGCCTTCTTCTTTCCACTGCCACTCAATTTCCTTCCATATCGATCCACCTTTGCTGAATTGGAAAAATCATCATCTTTCAGCATGCGCGAGAATCGTTTATCAATCTTCGTTCTGGTCTGTTTCTTCGAAGGAAGTCGGAATCGAGGATCGGTAGTGAAATTCGAGAATCGAGGATCATTGACTGCAGAAGCAGAGGATGCATCATTTGATGCTCCCTTGGGAGCTTTTTGTTTTGGCATTGTGCTGTGAAAGTTTCTTAAATGCGCAATTAACAAGCTTATTAGAACTTGAAGAATTGGATTTATTAGGAATTGAGAAACTTTTTTTCGAGATTACGGGATTTTGCCGGTGGAGATCAAAAGCGGTGAGATGAGCATCCATGCTGATTAGTCAGTCAGCCACAGCTTTAGCCACGTCCCTGGCGACAATGACGAAATCCATCCATGCAGGTGCCTTTTGTAGATCTCCAGCTTCTGTCTGACAATGAGTTTACCGGCCAGACTTGAGATGAATTAGAACTTCATTCAAATAAAATTAAATTACTATTAACCCAATTTATACAGACTTCAAATAAGTTTCAATTTCACAGCTTACAGCAGAATTATCATCAAAAATGGATCGCGAAGAGCAACTCGATAAACGTGTATGTCACTGATCCCTCGTAAACCCCCTCGCCCACTTGAATCCTCAGCACCGCAAGCACCTGTTCCCTTGATAACTCTATTCCGCAACTAAATCCATACAGATAGCCTTTACAGTAAGCGGGAAAGTTCAAGGTTAGTTAAAGAATATACCGTTGGTCAATTGTGCATATGAGCAATGCCTCATCACGTTCACCGGTACCTTGTGACACTAAAAAGCATTGTTGACAATTGGGATTTTCAGGAGTCAATTTTCGCTGGTTCACACAGAAGAAAGCGAGGGCACTTGGACTCGTTGGTTGGGTACGCAATACAGATGACGGAAAGGTACGTACCATCTATTCATACCTTTTGATACCCTTCCCCTTTCCTCGCTATCTCCCCCAAAGCCTTACACCTATCAATCTTGTTGCTCCAAACCCAAGCCAACAAATGCCGACAGGTAAAAGGCGAGGCTCAAGGCTCTGCCTCCCAAATCGAAAGTTTACGCGCAGATCTCAAAGAGGGGCCACCTCATGCAAATGTCACAGGGTATGAAGACAAGGAGCTGGATCTTAAGGGGAAAGGGGTGGCCGAGGGGAGGTTTGAGGTTTTAAGGTAGTGGATGCTGATTTTGAAAGATTATGTGTTCGTCTGGATATCAGAGCGTGAAATAATGATATGTCAGTCTATCAATGTTCATTGTAGCTTCCAACCCATATAAGCGCGGATCTACCGATACCTAGGTAGCTGTAGATTGCGGGTACGTAGTTCACTACGGGTAGATAGCGAGGCGGACTCAAAAAATTCCCCTTGATGATGTAGATGAAATGTTATTCAATGATTGGAATTGGGTAATGATAGTGAAGAGCTGAATCTTTTTTACTTTGAACAATATTATAACTACAGTTTTAAAATCATCAGTAAATCCATCAGAGTATTTGAGTTTTTTTTGTATTTAGATTTACTAAGCTCGTTTATAATAAGGGGTTTGAATCCATAGAGTTATTCAAATTATTAATTATAATGAAACAACCTTTTGTATCGACGGTATAAAACTCAAAGTATTTATTAATCGTGGGGATCATTTGGTTAGTGGATCTATTCCCAAAATTAACAAAACATACATGGACTTACACAGGCTACATGTAGAATAGCCATCAAGCAGTGGTGTACTTTTTATCCTGTGAGTATTCACATTTCGAACCCCTTTCCCCGTGCTTTCAGATCAATGATGCATTCACCCTCTTGCAAAAACTCCGATCTTTTGATTCTTTACCTAAAGACCGAGGCTGGATACCCAGGACTTGTATTCCTAGATCAAGATAGCCAATCGACCGCCCTTGGTTCCGCAAATGCAGGTTTCGACTTTGAAGGCTCGAGAATCTGGAGTAATTCTACAATCGCGGCTGGTCTCGCCAATGGTACACTGTCGCAAGAACGACTTGACGATATGATGTGGCCATACAGAATGTTATGGGATACAGCTATGTCAACCTCAGCAATGGAAGTCAGCCTTCTTATGTCAGCTCTACAACATACCGCGATCGTTGGACCAACCACAGTGATGTTGTGAGAGAAAACGGCGCAGCCCCATTGCTTTTTACTCAAGAATACCAAGAAAGCTTTGCCTCTTTCCAAGCCATTGAGCATGGCCATCTTCGATTCACACGCAGGTCCAGTTATGACGAAACTGGAATGATTCATGAAGGTCGTCTTGCAGGTTGATCTGGTCAGACTTCTTTCTCTTGTCTCATCACTCCCCAAAATGCTCTCACGACTCAAGCCAGAGAGGATGGTACCGTGGTTCGTTGGATCTTGAACAACACTTAAACCAGTACCATCTCTAGTCGTACTGGCGGTGGAAGCGATAGATAACAGTAGGCTTTGGTGGAAATGGAACTGCACTAAGTGGAGGCATGAATGGAACCTTGGGGGTGGAGGTGATGACAATAGCTTTGGAGGAGAAAGAGGAGGAGCTGCAGGTCTTAGCGGTGGAACCGTCCTAGTCAAGACATTTATTCATACGCTACTGACGCAGAAGTTTGTCTCGTTTTCTTGAAAATTTTCTCCGGCAAAGGCGCCGACCGCACTGAATTCCGAGACACAGACCAAGATATCCTCGTCACCTCCGTGGCAGCCGGATTTCACAGAACCGTCGTCATTATCAGCACCGTTCGTGCCCGAATCGTCAACACCTAGATCGATTTGAAACACCTATTATCGTAAAATTAAAACACATTATCTATATTTCTTCTCAAACATTCCAGCATCATCCTCCGACCATTCTATTTCCGCATCCAACCCAATAAACACTTCCGCAACTCTCATAAACAAGCAATGTATAATGATCACATCTCTCTTTCTGTTACTTTGATTTTTAACCCATCCATGCATCCCTCGATCCCTAATCGATTTCGCTATACAAACTTTAGCTCATCTGATTCCACCAGCTTCTGTCCCCTGCGCTATCCGCCTGATGAATCTTTCGTTTCATCTCTAACCTTTCCACCTTACCCCTCTCCAAAAATGAATCAAACTACATATCCCATATATTGAATTATGTATGCACATCTTTCTTCCTTTCCGTCCGCCCGTTCGTCTCTCATTCCCAGCGACCAATTTCCAGCCCCACATCTCAACTTTTTTCCCGTTCGCCTACGCACACGAGGTTTTCTTTGAAACAACCAAATCCCTCACTTCACAAACTCATCCAAACTCCCTGGTTCCCAACTTTCTTTTGTACAACGCAAACGCAACTCCCACTACTTGGCTTAATAATACAATCCGTCGTTCTTCTTTCCTCACAATCAAACTTTGATATCCGTCTTCTCTTGTTCAACTCCTGCTTCGGTATCACTCTTGACATGTGTCGCCAACCCCTCATTTTCTTTCCCCTTGATATTTTCCTCAACCCCCGGCCCCTCCAAATCAATTTCCTTCCTCAAATCGGGCAAAAATCTATCAATTCGTTTCCAAGTTTCGGTCCATAACTTCTCTTGCGTCTCATCTTGACTACGCGGTACCAAGTATCCGCTACTAGACATTACAAGAAGGACATTCTTTAAACTTTCTGGTACTGCTTCTTCCTATTTCATTTATTAGTAAAGTTCAATCATCGAATAGTTCCATTGACATACCAAACTATCACCCTGTCCACTATTCATCAAACGATCCATGATGTCAAGTATCTTAATCCAAAGATCTAGCATACCCTCCCATTTTGACAATAGTACCAAATAGTGCAAGAAGATCCTACAGAGAAGCGTGGCTGCTTGAACACGAGTTTCACTCATGCCAATGGGGTCGGATGAGTATACTTCTGGCTTTAGCAATCGAGTTATGAGAGGGAAGAGAACCTCGCCGAATATAGCGGTCCATTCTTCGTGATCACCTGACGTTAATTCTGGTGATAATAACGAACGCTGTAACGAAGAGAATGCTTGATGTCGAATTTCTCGGCAAGGATTGGTACACTGTGTCGTCAAAGCCATAAAGATTGGTGACCAATAGTTTGCCCAAGCTGTAGTGAGTTAGTAAAAGTCAATGCGATAGATGGATTTACACATACCCTCTTTGCTTTCAAGATGTGATTGTTCCATCAGGACAGGAATTCGCGACGTCAAAGAATATATCATCGTTATAGCCTTGACTCCTCTAGCTACGACCGCATCTACCACCTGTGGCTTTGGCTGTTTGACTGGTTGTCCTCTTCGTGTCCTCTTATCCTGTTTTTGCTCCACGCTAGACCCTACACTCCCGGCAGTGGCAAAATCATTGAGCAACTTAACAGCTGACTCATAATTATCTGCCATTATAGTTGGTGGAGAACCGATGGCAACACCTTCAAGGATTTCGAACACAGCCGATGCTGAAGAAGGACTGGTTGCAAGATTTTTAAGAATTACCCAGAAGTCGGGAGAAGTCATGATTTCGTTTCGTAATGGACCTGGCTCTTTTATACATTGTGTTAACCCTTGAAGAACAAGTGTGGCAGATTTCTCGAACAAATCTTTCTTGAAACTCGAGATAGCGTGAAGCACCACAGGAACACGAATGTATGATTGTTCCTACATAAATTAGCTTTGGTTCGTTAGACAAGATAAGATATACGAACATAGCTTGCGTGCAGTAGGTGCAGTAGATAGAATATTGTTCTAGATACCATCAAGGGATGCCAACTGGCAGAGTTTCGTAGAACGTTTTGTAAAACTTCTGCAACTTCAGCCCCAAATGCGTTGATAGTTTCATTATCTCTCATTGCAAGCACGGTACACAGCTCTAATATGTAAACCATTGATGGATCATACACAGGACCGGATGGTGCACCGTTAACGCCGTTTGTAGGACTCAATGGGGGTTCCACTTCCGATTTCACACTTATGACGACAGATGAAGGGTCATCTGGCAATTGCGATATCAATGCTTGTATGAGAGGTCGTAAGGAATCAATAGGCATGTTTCTAATCACATTAGCGATCGAGTCAGAAGAAACAAGTAGACATTACTTACACTACATTTGCGAACACGTCGCCCATGAAGCAAGCATTCACACAATCGACTGTGCACAAGGTACTTTCGAGCTCTTCATCCGATGGCTCTGGAGGATCGTCTGCAGCATAGCTAGTAATGTATGACGCAAAAGCAGAGAAAAGACCGGTGTCGCTGGGTTTCGCCCCGCGATCAATGACTTGGGAAGGATTTTGTAAGGGAATTGGAGCAATATCCATGCTATTAGATGTAGCAAAGAATGGGGGTATCAAAGAATTAACAAATAAGTTCAACCAAATCCTAGAAATCTGTACACGTGATTAGCAAATCTTAGGAAGTGTTTGACTATTGATCAACTTACGTGCTTCCAACTTTCTCCTATCACACTTTCACTACCTAACACAACACGGAAAAGAACAACAGTCGCAAGCTGAGCCTTCAAATCTCTACCAAATTTGACTGCAAGTTCACTAACCATGACGCTATTCTCCCCAACCTGTATCTCGGTATTGAGAGTAGTACTGGATGGAATCTCTGTTGCAAGTGTAGTAATGTGACTCAAACAATACACGACTTGGTCAATGACTTCAGTCAAACCATGTTTGGCTGCGATACGGACACACTGATCAAAACCAGTGATAACTCTCTCAAACACAGCATCATCAGTCGCCGACATGAAGACATACGATAGAGTTGCAACCACTGGTTTCCAAGTAGCTGCGAACATATCTGCATCGAAGATATTAGTGTTGCAGATAGTGAGATCACCCGCGGAAGCAGTTTTTAGTAGTAATTCCTTCCAAGCATAGTCGAAAGCATGTTTGTTGTCATGCTCATCAGGTAGAATAATTTCGTTTGATTTGATAGACTCGTAGATGTCCTGGAGGTATTGCGGAGCAAAATCCTGCCCGCCATTAACTCCACGCAAATTCCGTGCAAAGTTTTCTAGCTCCATGCGTTTACCCTTCATGTTCGGATTATGCTGATCTGTATTCAACATAATAATGGCATAAGTTAGAACATATACGGAATCTTTATCCGCGATACCTTCAGGTAAGGTACCCGAACAATAGTTTTCTGCGAAAGTCGAGATAATCCGTTCAATCAAAGCAGATTCTCCGGGTAATCTGAAGGTCTCGAGGAGTTCACGCAGCGCCTCGTCAACTCTCTTGTTTTCAAAATCAAATGAATCCATTAAAGCTTCTAAAATGGGCTCATTTCCTTTCTTGGATATGAATTCACCCAGTTGCTTTTTGTCGATACGAGATGTTCCCTTCAAGAAATTTGCGACAGTCTTTGCATCTCTCGGATCATCTATGATGCCTTGTGACGCCAAAAACGCAATTCCTGCCTTCGGACTCTCGTTAAATTTAACCGTTCCCTGAATGATAATCTTCTTCCTTCGTTTCTGCTCGCGTAGTGTTGCTTGATCAGGGTAGCCATCATATTTCGGTTCATCGCCAAGTCTATCTGCAATGAATTGAACAAAACCCAAGAGAGCATCCAGACAGAGTGGTGGGACACTTGTCGTGCTCCAAGTTGCAGAATCTGGAATCGCATTGCGAGACAGAAGTCCAACCATATCCTCGCAGATATCACTTCGGTCGATCTCGCAATCATAATTGACGTATAGCTCAGCCATATAGCTCGGGATCCGCGCAAGAGCTCCAACACTTTCCACCATTGCTTCACGTGCATCTGGCTTACGCGACCCACCTTCTAACCCTAGGGTTCGACGATCTTTCACAGGTACGGGCGTGGAACGACCGCTGCTAGCTTGTGATGGTGGGGGCTTCACCAGTTTTGGAGCCTGTGGTATACCAGCATACAGAGAGGGATCAATTCCCCTTTCCCGTGGAATTTCTACACGAGGATGCAAGCATGCAACCAGATAAGACAGAAAGAGCTCTTGCTGCAACTTCAAGACTCCTCTGCACGTCGAGAGAAGAGTGCCAGCAACAATTAGCGAATCCTGTAAGATAGCCATATTGTCCGATCGGACCAATTGGAATAGATATCGACAAAGGCGGTCTTCAGCAAGGGTTGCCAAAGCTGGATGCTTGGCAATTGAAGGACCTGCTATCTCTAGAGCTACATTGATCATACGGAGAGCGATGACTCTCAAAGAATCGGCATGTTTTCGATCGTGAGGATCTAGTAAATCTATCAAAGCTCTAAATAGCTCACAAATCGATGGGAGAGAATAAGGCTTGCTGGGAGTATCATCCGAAGCCTCTGATGCCGGCGCCACAATTCCAGCTTCAGATGAAGACTCTAAGAGAGGAACCTTTTCCATAGCAGATGACGGCCGTGATGTATCAAAGCTTGATGAAGGTGGCCGTGATCCGGCAGGAGATGCGGTCAATTTCGTGATAGCACTTGTACTCGCTGCTGAAGGGGCCATTTTGACAGTGTCCATATCTTCCTTTGTCTTTTCGTCTAAAGCTTCTAGATCATCCCCAGCCTCAATTTCTAAATGCTTCAGTCTCTCGAAAATGATCTGACACATCTTTGCCATAGTCATTTCGGCAGACCCACGAAATAACTCTGATAGCTGTGGCTGACAACACATGTTCAAATTCGTCTCCATCATTTTACAAACACTTCCATCACTCAGTAAATCTCCACCGGGGCCAGACAGCATTCCTTCCATCAGTTTCAATATTTTTTGATATACCTTCTCTTCAGCCACTGTATCTCGAGCTTCAAACCGGCAATTTGTCATGGCAGCAGATAAAGACTGCATTGCCTGTGAGAGTCGAGGGGAGCTTGGGCTGATTAAGTTGTACGAGAAGAACTTTATGATAGCAGCCAGGGCTAAAGTTGTGATCGGCGACGGCGTTGCGGGATTTTCGATGACCATAACTTGGAGAAAAGGATGGAGTAAAGATGGTGCATCGAATGTGTGTATATCTAGCAGTAGAAGAATCATAAGATCAGTTGTGCCCAGCTCAAAAGTGATTCATGTTGCCTACCTTTGCATCCAGTCAATTCCTGTCTGAGACGCTGAAATCCAGCCATCAGAGGATTATCTTGCATGCTCTTCCCTTTCTTCCCCCTCAAACCCCATCTGATTGCCAAGCCTGCATCATCATTCCCTTCTGAGGCCGCTGAACCTTTCGGCACCCTGCGAGTTCCTGGCTCATCTCGCGGTGTAGAAGGCCTTGAGTTCTGAACCCCCGCGCTCAACGGACTTGAATGCCCACCCAATATAGAAGAAGCCGATGAATGCGCCCACCGAGGATGTTTTCGCATGGCAGAAGTAACAGCACGACATTCTTGAATGATAAGGGTGACAGGGTCGACAGCTACTGAAATCATACTAGTATTCGAGGCCATGCTACCATTAAGTCGTTGCGGGGCGACACTATCAATGCTTTGGCGCAAAGCTGTAGAAGATGTTGAATGACGTTTGGGAGAGGTAGCCGAAGCTATATCTTGTGTTGGGGCATTATTGCTCATGTTGTATGTCGATTACCCACCGAGCACAGCATAAGGACTATTCGCCAATGTGAACCACGCACAGGTGTTGTCAATCTTGAACGATACAAGGAATTCTATTGGAATAGATTCGAGTCGCAAAAAACAAAAGAACTATTTGTATGTATTATACAAATACGAAAATGTCAACTAGATCGGATATCAAAAGTAAATACCTACGATGTCATTGTAGGCTATACTTTACCAGGTACATAAATTCGAAGAGCACAGATGTCTGTAATGGCAGAACTACGGATACCCGAGTAGCGATACTGTGTTCTTTGACCTGACAGCCAAATAACCTTAAGGTTACCCAAGACAAGATGAAATGAAATTTCAAGAAGCAAAAAGAAAGCAGAAAAGATACTGCTTCGATGTTTCGCAAGATAGGTTGTTAATCAATAATTCAATTCTATAATACTGCTGTGTGTTTTTACAAGAACTCCATCCTAGATTACACTTCAAAGTTAAGACTCAAGTGCTGAAAGGCCACCCCCGTATTTACGATTCAGCATCAAGAATGCCTTTCCCCTCTCTCAACCCATAAGATAGAAATAGTTCGTCGAGTTGTGATCATTTTCTAAATATCCTCGTAGCCTTGTCAAGAACTGGCCCAGCCAAAAGCTAATGCGTGTTACTCACTTAAACCAAGTTTCCTTATACGCCCATCAAATGAATTCGGTTATTGTACCTAAACCAGTCAACAATGATGCTAATACTTGAGTTTTATAACATTCTTACTTTGTCCTTTGGCTTACTTTCTTCGGCCTCGGAGTCTGGAGCTTTTGCAGCACCATCGTCTTCCTTAGCTTTAACTTCAGCTTTCTCCTTCTCCTTCTTCTCCTTGAGAGCTTCATCTGCGATGACGTTCTTATCCTTCTCCCATTGTGGAGTTGGATCATCAAACTGTTCCTTCATCTTCTTATTACGTTCTGCCTTTTCCTTTTCTTCATTTTCGCGAGCAATACGCTCTTGTTCCATTTCCTAAAAATCGTAAGTGATTTGTCGAAAGCCCAATATTATGCAACTGACCTCCATGTGACGAATATCATCCACACTTGGCTCATACAAATGCCAAATAGTATAATGAGGTAATCCAACTACCGAGAACTTCATTCGTTTTGCCATCTGTTCTTTTAATTAGCATGAGCATAACAAAAGAGTAGAAAGAGTTTCGAACCTTTCCGAATCCCTCAGTCTCGGCATGCTTTTCAAAACTGAAGGCAGGGAAATGGACACCGGATCTGAAAACCTTGGCTTTGGCCAAAATACTAACACCTCCAACACCATCGATATCCATTTCCATATCAGGGTCACCATATGGATCTCTCAAGTACGCAAGATGGGGACGCCATGTCGCATATTCCGCATATCCCTCCACAATAACTGCATCTTCGTCAAGAGTATCAGCTAAGGCTAAGGCTGTTTCGGACTCTTGCCATGAATTCAAATCATAAGGTTGCTCTCCTCCAAGCCAATCGGGCAATGGTCTCCAAACATCTAAAACTCATTAGCCAATTGTAACAGAAATTACACACCATCACTCACTAGGTACGATGACGTCCTTATTGTGACGCATCAGATCCTCTAGAATTGTGAAAGGTGCAGTCTCGACATCCACATCTCTCCAGTAGACCCAGCTGTGATAAGGACGTAATGCAGCGCTTAAAAGCCAATTTCTAGCTTGTGCCATCAACTTTCTTCGGCTTGCTTGTGCGGCAAAACCATGACGACTCTCTACATCCTGGTTGACCTTTTGACCAAAATCCTTTTCGATGATAGATATTTCACCATATGGTTGTTTTGGGTCCTCGTCGGCTTGTAATTTCTCCAAAAGCTCCGAGAGCAAAGATAGGGTGTTGTCCTTGGAATCAGAGACCAAAAATGCAAGATCTATAAGATGATGCGGGTATGTAAAATTACGAAGATGCGCGAAAAACATTGGCAAATGGGGCTCGGCATCACGAAGGGGGGCACAAAGTAAGATCCGCTCCTCTCTCTCCCAACCTCTAGCCGTCCCTTGTACATTTGAAAGATCGTAATATCGAACGGTTTCGAGTTGAAAGTCCTCCCCTGAGGATATGAGGCCAAAGGATAATACTGGAAGGACCGCGGCACCAGGCCATATAAACAGTCCAACTACTAATGCGAATACTAAGACGAGAGTCAAACGAACGAGAAGCTGCCTTCGACGGCGCAGCGCTGGCGGTGACGTCCTTGGTTGGAACCTGTATTCGAAATGTTGTTAGTAGATGAAATGCACAATTGTGGCGATGAGTTTGGGTATTCAATTCGATCTGCACGAACCTATGTGGTGATATGGAGTATGTGTCGCTCTTAGAGTATGGATCGCTCTTGCGAGGGTATCCATTAGAATATGCGGTTGCTTGATGCCTGGGCATCATTTTGCGTGAGGATGCAGATGCATAAGAGGGTAACAATCAAAAGAGTTACAATGAACCCAGATGGCCGAATGTCAATGTTGACAGTTGGTTGTGGAAATTTGAAGGTTGTGTATATCAGAATAGAATACTTTAATTCAAAGTATGAGCTAACTTCTGAGAGAGCAGGGGGGATTGCTGAGTGGATTCGTGTTCCTTGAGTGGAACTTGCTTCAAACCCAAAAAAGAACCTTAGCCACAACTTCCCTACATACGGAAGACAATTTACAGGGGATTCTATACGACGTAATTGAACTTAGAATTTGCATGTACCAATCATATCTACATAGTAATGAATCATGTAATTGTTGGTACTGTAAGATGGAATAATAATCAATTGTAATTTTCATTCATTTCAACTCACAATTGAAGAAGATGCAGTACGAAGTATGGAAGAACGATATCAAGTCTGCTCTTTTCTTGACGTCTAAAGTTGGACATTCCATGAAGAAAAGACGTATCCATAGAGTTTATCTATCATTGATTGACCCTACCTCCCTAATAAAGACCTACCTGCCTACTGGATATATACATATCTATCTCATGAACGGCTACTCCAGCAAACCCATCACTGAAAGTCTGAAACGTCGAACGAGCCATACTTTAATTTAAGCGATTAGACGCCAATGTTGAGCTTATTTAAATATCTCGATAGGTATCTACCTACTAGGTAGGTAGGTAGGTGTGATTATGGCTGATTCAGCAATTTAATGGGAAGTTTTATAATTAATTCACCAGTTGTCTAACTTTTTACCTTGACAGGATACCTAATAAACTACCTACATCTGCTGTAAATCTTGAAAGGGGCTCCAGCTTGGTAAGGGTTAAGAACTTTCGGATATGACAGCTGGGTCATACAGTGAGTGGCTCGAGAGTGGCCCAAGAATAAGCTTGGCACATAAGTCGACATTAATGAAAGTGTACGAAGTACCTATGGAGATACCCTTTTGACTCTAGGGGTCCACCGAGTGCTCAGGTCCTCTCACGTGTGCTTGGTGCCTGAGACCTGTTCAGGCTCACAATGCTTCCAGAAAAGGTTTGGTCGAATGACCTAAGCTAGCGCACAAGCTAGTGAGAAGCTCTTTTTAATTCTCTTCGCACAAAAATTTAAAACATTCTTCGATCCAAAATTTTCAATCTTCCACAATTCTTAATTGAAGGAAAGTCGACAGCAATTCAACAACCTTTGGTAAGTGACATTTGTGCAATCTCTTCATCTCCCTCTTTCGATATGATTACAAAACCGATCTGTCAATCCCCTGACAACCAGATTTATCTGGACATGATGTCTTAAAATATGTTTTAATTCATGATTCATCGAACCTCGAATTTATCATTGTACATTCTACCACTTGACAATAGAATCGTTTACTAACGTGATAAAGTAACTTATAGTCTTGAGCTCCAATTCAAAATGTCTCCGAACATTGTTCCAGAGCCCGTTGCCATATCATTCATTGCTGGCCGGTATTTGCTATTCGACATAGATGTAGTGACTCACCTTCGTAGGACTTACCATATCTGTGGTGTTTTGACTGGCACCATTCCGCAGATTCCACAACAGAACTTGTTCCTTGGCCTACCAGTAGAGTTACTACCAGAAGAGGCCAAAGTACTCGTCGATAAGAAGATTGCGTACATTGTTGAGGATACCCCTTGGCACAAACAAAACTTCAGTTCGCTGGAAGGCCTGGACAGGAAGAAACACCTAGAGTCCCTCAAAACCGAGGCATTCAAAGCAAAAAGGGCTGCCGATACTGAAGCCAGAAAGCGCACTGAGAATGCTCTAGCAAAGCAAGCTTTGAAAGGTGGGAATGGATCGTTACCAAGTACATCTCGTGCAAGTAATGATCATCAAGATGCTATCTCCAATGATCCAGACCCTTTATTCGAGGATGAACGCCCTGCCTCTAGAGCCTCTGCTGTCGCATCCTCATCCAGGAAATCTTGGGGTATCACACCAACTGTTTCATATCCCTCATCATCTTCACCCCAAACATTTCCATCAAGTTCAGATCCATCCGTTCCTTCATCTTATCCTTTGTTTGCTCACTTGCACTCTCGTGACTACTTCATGACACCTGGTCTCCGATTCGGGTGCGACTATACTGTATATCCAGGAGATCCTTTACGCTTTCACAGTCACTTCGTAGCGACAGGTTATGAATGGGATGAAGAAATCCGGTTGCTGGACATAGTTGGAGGTGGTAGGTTAGGTACTGGTGTCAAAAAAGGCTTCTTGATCGGTGGCGAAAGTCCTGAGAAGAAATCTGATGAGGAGAAAAACGATGGAGTAAGAACCTTCTGTATAGAATGGGGTGGCATGTAATTCAAGAATGATATATCTACCTTATTAATGAAGAATGAATCGAAAATGAAATTCAATTGCATTTGTCAAATCCAAGTGATGCCTTCAAGACCAATGTATGAACTAGGTGATAATTTTTGAAAGCAGCATCCCAATCAAAAGCCTCTCAATATTCCAATACATTGCATTTTGATCTATGGAGGTTAATGATGTCGAAGTACTAATCAGAATTTCATCTCTTTCACCCCTCCCACCTCCGATAATGTAACTTTATTAAGCTTCTTTTGAATATCACTACGGCACCTTGCATTCTAGAATCGGCCGGAACAACGTATTCCGAAACATTAATTGAGGTCGCATCAGACAATCAATAATAAGTCCATGGGGATGTTTGGATTTCTCCTTTCGACATTAACTTTATTGACTGTCAACATCTCAGTCATATTCTTCTTCCTTTTGGCCCAGGAGGATGCTCTTTATCTGGATTTTTTGATGGTCCGGTGAGACCAAGAAACATCGACTAATTATCTCTTTGTGACGACCTAAGCCGTTTGCATTGATTCGAATCTTAGCTTATCATGGCTACTCCAACAATGCTCGATAATGGTACAAAATTTGACATTACTTCGTGGACGAACTGGACCGCAGTTAATGTTACGCAATATGTGCCGTCTGCAAGGGATTTTGCTTTGGCAGGACCGCGAATGGTCATGAAACTCGGTTCCTTTCTTGCAGTTCCGGAAAGTGTTGATAATATATTGGGTATAAGGATGGCAGCACGAATAATCCCAGAGGCTACTGGATCTGGCATACCTGATCCCGCAGAAACGATAACTGCCGCAGCAGTTGCGGGCATAAGACAGATTGTAGAGACCAGCTCGGAAACATTGACGGAAGAGAATATCATGGAAAGCTCAAGATTCTCTTTGGAGAGTGCGCGAAGTCTCGGGGGTTTGTTTGCTTATGCCACAAGCAAATGGGCCCTTGGGTGTATAGTGATGGCCATCGTTTTGAATCGCACGCACATAATGGCCAGCACGAGAAGGCCACTCGAATTTACATGGAAACCACGCTTCCTATTACGAATAATACCTATAATACTACTTCTCGTTCAAGCCAGATGGTTGCTGCAATCAATACAATGCCAAACATCCCTATTTTGGTTACTTACGGTGGGGTAATTCTTCAAAATCCCACAACCTCCTGTTCACCCAGGATGGAGGTCCCCTGCATACGTTCAGTCAAGCCCTCCTGTTTGGTGCTAAGGATTCATCCTCATGTCTGGCGGTGAGTATGATTCCCAGTAATTACACTGTGGGGAACGAGACCAATTCTGAGGAGGGAATTCACACCACATACGATCTTTCCGGATCTTTATCACTTCTATGGCCTTTATTCAAAACATTTAGCTTCAGTCAATTTGTCGAAACAGTGTCCTGCGCTGTTCAAGGTAAGCTTCCCCATATTATTTCCATTCATCTTTTGTTTGCATGCTCTAGATAGTGCTAGAGGATTATGGTGTTCAAATTCTCCTTCATTTCTATGATAGCTTGGGTATACCATAAGTATGTAACCTAACAACATCCAGGTCGTCAGGTCGCAGCTGAAACGGGAATGACGCTCTTCGAACACTCATTAGCCTTTGCTGAGGCCGATGCCGCTATTAGTGCTCAAATTGTTGGCTTTACCAAGATCAAGATTCCAGCGGAAGACAACTCAAATGCTGGACCCACTCAATTTGCTGTTACACGCTCCATGATCATGAAGAAAATAAATACCACGCCAGAAGTTCTACTTGTAGGGTTTCTCTCAGTTATGAATCACTTGAGTAGTCACATCCTTGCAATCTTCGATATTCAAGGAAGATTTCGGCTACTTAGTACCGGATTCTGGGGCATATCATTCATGTCTGTGATTGTATGGAGTCTCGTGTCATTTTCTTTCGATCATCCTTCAAGCCAAGCATTATTGAGGTTTCCTACGGTTTGTATTATTGGATTTATTCCCCATGTTCTCGTCTGTGCGGTTATTATCATATGCTCAATCATATACGGCGTTGCATTGATCTTGTCTACATTAGCCCCTGCTAGTGGTGTCGACGAGTCCAACATTCAAGTTGGACAAAATATGCCAGATACTCCTCGCCCTCGATTATCCTTCTCGCAGAGAGTGATCAATGCACATCATAACATGCAAGCGAATGTCCCATTGTCAAGTATCCGAATAACAATGCACATGGACTTCTATACGGCTCTGCTAAGGACAGGATTTGCTGTTATGACTATGGCTAGTGAAGCTGTTTATCTGAATGAGAGTCGAGGGGTAAACGTCAAACCTAATACCTGGCTCGAAGATGATCGTCTACGTGAGATTGAAGAGACTGGAGCACAATGGCTAGGCCCAAGTTTTAAAGCTCATGAATCTGAGCTTGCTATAGATGATCATATGCCTCATAACGTTGGTCTCGTAGCGGCTACTAATCAGAGGGTACTTCCACAAAAGAATAACAGTCCCTATGCGCGCGAGATGACTGCACAGAAGAATGCAAAGTCCAAAGGACAAGAGCGATCAGTCAGAGATGGTGTTGGTGCTACAGAGCGCAGTGGGCGTTGGGTAATGGCATTGGAGTTCTTTCTTGGAATCAATAGATTAATTCTTAGCTGGTAAGTAATCTCCCGTCGTTTGTAGTTCACAGAAGTTCCCATTCATCAACAGGTTGACAATGGATGACTTTATTGGGAACGTGCAGAATGGTATCACAAACCTGCTTGCAATAACTACCTAGTTATTTCCAAACTCACCTTTGCGCACGCCAAACCCCTGTACATGCTGACAATTGCTAATTTATGGATTGCAGGTGGGCAACATGTATCTTGATGTTTATGAGTTGGCTTGGAATTCAAAGCCGCCCAGGCTGGCTTCTGTGGCTTGTATCGCGAACAAAGAGAGACCCCGCCAGCACAGCCGTGCAAGCAAATGACCCAGATACACTTAACTTCTGGCTTCTGAATATCGATGGAGAATTGACTCTACCCAAAGATGACCATGTGGATGTAGAAGTAGAAATGAGAAGGCGACTTAAGACCAGCCAAGAATATTGGAGTCGACACAGAGAGACTGAGTTGGACTCCAGTCTCTATCAATGGTGGCTGAATGGCGGCTGGTGGGGAAGTGATGATAACAGTGGGACATTCAGTCCCGAGAAAAAAGACATCGAAGATGACATGACCAGTGTAATCTCATATTCGACAGAAGATGAACGAGATTGGGAGTCGGACGATGCCATTACAGATGGTCAAAGAACTCCCACACAACGATCACCTCATCCATCGCGAGAATCTAGTCCGTTTCTCGACACGCCCCTATCCACAACAGATCTAGCTCAACTCCTACACCCTCGAAACCCCGAACAAAGAGCAGAAGCTCAAGCCCTCTCACTCCACCTCTCAAGCGATAAAATACTAACCCGTTCCCGCTACCGCGACATCATTCAGAGGGAACGAGCACATGTCCTAACATCCACTCTTCAACGCCCCCCAAATTTCATCCCTTCCGATCCATCGGGCAAACTTTCTCCAGACGAAGAAGCCCAAATCCTCGAGCATCTCATCATCTCCAAACGCAACTATCAAAAAGCCACCCAAGAACCTGCTTCCTGGATGCAAGGTGCATCCGGCATGGGAGAGAATGGCCCACAATGCGTGGTCTGCCAGAGCTCACCCAGAAGTGTGATCGTGTGGCCTTGTCGTTGCTTAAGCTTATGCGACGATTGTCGTGTTACGCTTGCGATGAATAATTTCGATAAATGTGTTTGTTGTAGGAGGGATGTGGTGAGTTTCAGTAGGATCTTTGTTCCATAGTGGGGGGATAAGGGTGAGAGTAGGACCTTGACAGGATGGGTACGAATGGGTGCACAGAATGATTTGTTGGCTATGACACTCATCAGTTTGTGGTGGGGATTTGAAGTATGTTCGTGCGGTACGAGCATATTTATAGTTGACAGTAGAGAGAGTGGGATTTTCTTTTCTTTTCTTCCAAGGGCGTGGGGATTTTATCGCGAGGAGTAGTACAAAGTTTTGTCTTTTCTTTTGTATCATTAGATTAACCTATGTTATGTGATGTGATCTGAGTCAGTAGTATTTATCATGACATGAGCACATATCACAATAACGCACATAATATTCATCACTAATCTTACCCGAAACTTCAATTCGCTTGATTCGTGTGATTCAGTACATCTTTATTTGAAATGATTATTATTTACTATCTTGTGATATCTCCGTCTAATCCTGACGTGTAGCATGTCGTGCAAATAGCGCCTTTATATCCAGAGCTCTGTGTGATCTCTGCAAATCCCAATTCTGTCCTGAAATGGTCGAATATGATCACTAGGGGGGATCGCATCTCCGCTTATTTTGCTTTTCTCCTGTTCCTGTCCTGTCTCTTTTTCGATGGCCCCACTGTGCAACTTCCCGCGCAAAGATGCTCAAAGCATGATAGATGAATCTGAGTTCCCTATCTCTCTCCATCCACCCAATTCGCATCTACTCTCTATGAACCGCATTTCATTCTTCACCATTTTCTTTACATTCCTGCTTGGGATGGAACACTCAATCCCCATCTTTCTCCAAAAACCCCGGATCATTCCTCACCCTCGCCTCAAACTTCTTCCACCACTCTTCAAACGCCTTGAGAGGCACAACTTCCACCCCCTTCCCATTTCCCGCATCCATGATATTACCGCTAAAACTCGCGAGGAAATTAAACGCATTTTTTATTATGCGTTGCGCCAGGACCAGCGTATCCGTATTCGTGGGCTGAGGCCTGGAGAGAACTAAAGAGGTTCCAGGATTTGACGACGATGCGCCTGCGGAAGAATGGGACGAAGATAGCTGTGCCATTTGTGCAGATACTGATTCGGCGCTCTCGAGAGAGATTCCGATGGTGATTTCGCCTTGCATTTGGGGCGTTGAGGATTCAGCGTCCATGTCGACTTCGGGGGCATTGTTGGGTGCTTGAGAGGAGGAAATGTCGCGGTTGATTTTGAATATGGCGCTTTCTTTTCCGGGGCCGATGCCCCCGAGGAATTTGAAGGGGGGATCGGTTGATGCGCCGGTGGGGGAGGGCGGGAGAGAGATGTAGACTGCGGCGGCGGTGGAGGGGGGGGAGGGTGATTCCGGGGAGGATGAAGACGCAAATGTGTTGGTAGGAGCGGGCGGGGAGGGTAAAGGTAAAGGATGTTGGGGAGGGGGCAGAGGTGGGAGTTGTGATTGGTGAGAGACCGGTAGGAATTCTGAAGGAGGGAGAGAGGTTAGTTTTTTGTTTGTTAGGCTGGCTGGGAAGCGAGATTGGGGGGTTAGAGATGAGGAGAGATGAACTTACATGCCAAATAATTGGGATAGTGAAGGGGGAGCTTGCTCCATGGTGAGTTTGTGAGATTCTCGCGCGTTGTGTGATTGCGATGCGGATGTGACGTATGATAAGAATAATGGCTACTCAGGTATGTGTGTAGCTAGCTGATCAGAGCTCCAATTTGTGCTCAAACAATACGAATCACACGAATTAACATAATACAATGACTGTATCTAAATAAATTGGTAGCTTTGTTAAATGATAAAAATTGCTTGTAGATGTAGTTTGAAGAAATAAATGCGGATTTTGGATTGAGGTAACTGTTTTCACTAAGTAAGCTTAAGGAATTTTAACGTCATTCGTGAAAGTTCTCGTTGCGTCTACGATATGAGGAGCTAACAATGAGACTGCGGGGCTTGAGCGGGGCAGCTTTTTTGAGCGTGGTGGGGGTGCAAACTGCAAAGTAATTTCGGCCATCGATTCACTCAGTCTTTGCTAATTTTGACTCCCGAGTTTCAATACACCTTGGTATAATTGCACTAGCAGTAGTACTGTATTGATATTTTTATAAAGGGTTTTTGAAATACTCTTCCTTGCAAGACTCAGAAATCTAACCTTTGGATATTGGTTGTAGAAATATATTTGACATTTAGTAGAAGTTTCTTTTTTGGATACACTTTATTCAACGCATACGAATCACGCATTTCTAGAGAGAAAATATCTAGAGGAAGAGAGAGACATCATGAAGACTTATTTAGATCTTGTCAATGAGTGCGATACGTAAGTATTTTTATTTTGAGTTCTCTCATTATCTTGGCTATTGCTAGATGGTATCACTGCATGGAAATGGCTGAGTGGGTGGTGGCTTTTGAGGGAGGTGTGGGGTTTGGACTGCTTCTTGGAGAATACAAAATTTTATTACACTACCAAGTGGTTGGTCAATGAAGTTTTAATCCGCCTGAAGGTACATTGGGCTACAAGGATGAATAGAAGCCAATGTCCCCAAGAGCGGTTTTGAATTGAGCAAAATTCCAAGCTTCAAGTTGAACATAGGAAACTACTCCACTCGACTGTATAACCACACCAATCTTATCCTGACCCTCAAAGCTCTCTTGCACAATCTATCATTGTTTTCTCTAGCTGCACCCCCAACTAATATATCCTCAGATTTCCCTACCCAGAGAAAGATGCTACCGCTCACTCAACTCTAACCTCCACCCTCTACACTCTCATCCATGAGGACCCCACCACATTCACCACTTACCCCCTGGGCTATATCACCCTCCCCGTCTACCGTGCTCTCCTCAAAGTTCCCACCAGCATCAAAGGAGAAATGAGCGTCAACCAATCTCAACGCACCATATCCCTCTTCACGCAAGCCACCGAGCCCGAACGGAGCGCAGCCGTCGCTGCAACATGCGAGTACTGGCGCACCAACAAAACCTTCGAAGTTCTATCCGGCTGGCGTGATGAGCTATATCCCGTCTATGGTCCCGGAAATGAAGTACTCTGGTCCATTGAACGTAGCGCTTCTGTTTTATTTGGCATTCTCGGTTATGGAATTCACATGATGGCATATGTACGCTGTCCCGAAGTGAAGTACGGAATGAAATTGTGGGTCCCGAGACGTTCGGCCACAAAACAGACATATCCATCTATGTTGGACAACACAGTTGCAGGAGGAATGTCTACGGGAGAAGATAAATTTGAGGCTTTGGTGAGAGAGTGTATGGAAGAAGCCAGTTTTCCAGAAGATGTTGTGAGGAAAAATGCAAAGGCTCACGGCGCTCTTACGTATTTCCATGTACGGGGAGCCACTGCTGGAGGAGAAACGGGTTTGATGCAGCCTGAATGCGAATACATTTATGATTTGGAGTTGCCTGCTGATGTCATTCCTAAACCGAATGATAGCGAGGTAGAACAATTCTACCTTTGGACAGTAGAGGAAGTTCAGGAGCACATGAAGTTGGGAGAGTTCAAACCCAATTGCGGAATTGTTCTATTGGATTTCTTCATCAGATATGGCATATTTACAAGGGAAAATGAGAGCGATTTCGATGAGATCAAGAGCAGGATTCATAGAAAATTGCCATTTCTAGGACCACACAATATTTGAATATTTTAGTATTCCAGATTTTAAAAGGTATCTGGTGCTTGAACGCCCTCAAGACTTTTTCAATTTCCCATCCACAACGCCCCACGCAAATGCAAAACCACATATGCATACGATAAATCGGGTTTTGTAACTATCGATTTTCGTCTGCCAGATTCCTCACAAGGAGTTCACCACAACATAGATAGCGAGTCCTTTCCTCTATTCGTTTTCGGCTTCCCGGGCAGTTTTTCAAGTCTATCTATTTCTTGATGAGGAGGTAGACATAGTCGACTCTTAGAGGTGTAAGCTTCTTATAAGGACCCTCCAAACCCATTAACAATCCACCAAAGGAGATATATGCCTTACTATATTAGAAGTCAGTCAACCATTTCACAACAAAGATAGATACCATAGCCAAATAGCAAGCAAACAATCTACCCAATCCTCAATCTCAAGAAGAAGAAGAAACCTACATAAGATCACTGTTCTCCTGATCCTCAAACTTATAAATCTTCCCATGACAAACATAATCAAACATATCCGCAAGCGTAGCCTCGCCCCCCAATCCCATGCGATTAGCATCTCTCCATCCCTTTCCATCATCCTTTGTGCCATCCAAGTTAAGAGATGTCGCAAGCACAACGCGAATGTTGTCGCCGACGGCTAATGGGAATAGCTCGGTATTGATATCCAAAAGCATGGAGACGGAGTGATCGACCGTGGAGGTCGCCTTGATACGTCCTACTCGTACATATTTCTTATGATCTAATTCGTTAACGGTGAAGTGCTCGTCGAAAAGTTGCGCGTCTTGAGGACCAGACATTGTGGGTTAGAAATTGGAGATTGTGGAAAATGCGATGGTAGTATTCGAACTGGAGGATCTTTGGGGGTTTATATTGATCTTAGTGTAAATTGATCGAGGTATCGAAATGTTAGTCTGCTAGACTTCGACTTCAAGAATTCGAGAGTGTGGTATAAATGGCGATGCTGTAAGTAAATAGAAGCTTTGTCTTTCGCAAAATATTGCACTCTTCCAAAAACATCGAAAATCTAGACGGAGATCGGCCAAACGAATGTTCCGGCGCAAAAAAAATTAATAGCAAGTGGCTCGCTTTGGGTGGGATGTGAATCCCATAAAACACCTACCCCGCGAGCACCAAAATTAATTCTCGTCATAATTGACACCACCAATTTTCTCCAAAATGGCTTTCCGAAAACGTAACGTGGCAATCGCGCAACCGGGAATCCAAACTTCGCAGACTCCTATTCCGGAAAAAGTAGCACCTATTCCTGGTATTCGTCCCTCACCACTCGATGGTCGTCCAACGACATCGACGGGAATCCGTTCGCTCGATTCTATACTAGCTGGTCATGCGGGACTTGCCCTCGGCACTTCGTTGCTACTTGAGGAGAGTGGGACTACAGATTTTGGGGGCACGTTGTTGAAATATTATGCTGCGGAGGGAGTGTTGCAAGGACATCATATTCACGTTTTGGGGATGCATCAAGGATGGGGAAGAGAACTGCCCGGAATGGGTGTTGCGGAGGGATCTTCTTCGAAGAAAGATGCGGAGAGTAAGGCGGCAGATGATAAGATGAAGATTGCATGGAGATATGAGAGATTGGGGGAATTTGGGACGAGTGGTGCTAGAGGTGGGTGGCCCTTTGTATATATGTTTGACCGATTCGTAGAAGAATATAATATCGAATTACAAAAGCTAATGCTCTTATTTCTGTGTAGAGAGAAACACTGTGCAATCAAGTACTGGCTCCTCAGGTCCGCCTTCAATATTCTGTCACGACTTCGATCTTAGTAAACGATTGATTCCACTTTCGTCTACTCAGATGCATTTCATACCCACGATTCTCAGACCCGACTTCGAATTCGCAGATACGACAAACGATACAAAATCACCCTTCGCACCATTCCTCCAACATCTCTCGACTCAACTCTCCCGAACCCCTCCTACGACTATCCACCGCATCATAATTCCCTCCCTCCTCTCACCAGCTCTCTACCCCTCGCATGCATCTCTCCCCCACCACATCCTCCCCTTCCTCCACGCTCTCCGCGCCCTACTCCGCCAACACCCCACCCGACTAACTCTCATGCTGACCCTCCCTCTCCCCCTACACCCCCGCACTACCGCTCTCACAAAATGGATCGAGCTCCTCAGCGACGGAGTCCTCGAAATCGCTCCCTTCCCATCCATAGCCATCATCCCCAAAGCCACACCGTCCAGCTCCTCCAATCCCGCTCAAGAAGAGCCTCCACAAGGAATGCTCAAAATCCATCGCCTACCCATATTCCACGAGAAGGGCGGCGGAAGTGCTGGATTCGCTGGCGACGATTTGGCATTCTCGCTAAGTAGAAGAAAGGGACTGGTGATCAAACCCTACAGTTTACCACCCGTCGAAGACGAAGGGGAAGAACAAAAGGGCGGGATCGACATCGATGGAAAGGGAGGAAAAGCCACCAAAGTCGATATTGAATTTTAGATCATCATAATTTCCCCCATTCAATAATTGTATGGACAAAATTTGTATATAGCATAGCACCGGCGTTGGAGACGGATAGGAAACTTTACTCGGAATCGGAATGTTCAATATGATCTCCTAACATATCTTGCATCTCGAATTGGTTCCAAGTACCGTGTCCATTGGATGTGATGGCTCCCATGTAGTTACTGTCATATATGGCTTCTCGGGGATTATATGACATTCCTGAAATATGACGACGAGCTCCTTCACCTAGACATGAGGTGAGTATCATCCATGCTGTAGCTTTCGTTAGTGCTTGAGTGATGTGTGAGGGGTAGGAATGGTTTGGGACAGGATCACATGCCGATGAAAAGCGTAATGCCAATCGACATCACTAGAATCAAGGGCCAAAGTGCAGGCATTGCGAATCACGAGATATCGTTTTGGTTTCCTTGATCCGTAGCTCATAAGTTGCAGGCGATGTTGCTAGTCACTCAGAGCTGGAGGTAAAAAGGTCATGCTGACTAATGTAATATCACATCTTCGGCGATGCTGTGCTGGAAGGACTTGCAGATCAAATTTACATGGAAATAGGTACAGTGCTACAAAATGGTCTTCTTCGATTGTATCAGGTCACGGTGTCAAGAATGCTACAATGAATATTGCAATTGGCAAATGATTTAAATTATAACTATCTGATAATGCACATTTCTTGCCACTGAAGACATCTCATCATTCCATAGTGCTGATAACTAAAGGACCTACCTTGTTCCAAACTTACCTGCGAGTGTTATCCAAGCCAACGTACTCCATGTCAAGCATTTAAAGTCAAAGACTCAAATGAACCTAATAGCAACCATCAATTAGCATAGAACCAATAGTGATGTTTGATGCTGAAAATAAATTTCCAAATGGTTCAGAAAGCCGTTTAAATCAAGCACTTCAACCGGCGACAGAGATTTGAACTACAAGACGCAAGACGAATCTCTGAAGCTCTGAAACCCCAGCTCCACAACCTATCATCCCAAGCTTGAAGGCCCAGTCCGGTGCGGGAGTAGGGTTCGGTTGATGAGCATTCATGGAATGGATAAGCTGTTATCATCATAACGAGGAGGTGCTGAAGGCGATGTAGAGTATACCGTACCTGTGAATGTCGTTGTTGCGCCTTGCATACGTGAAACGTGAGAAGAATCTATGACTGAAGTGACAATTAGCTTTTGTAATGCGTAGATGGTTAAAAGCAAAATGAGGTAATGTCTTTTTGGATCAGAAAAGTTTTGGTATATTGGTTATCAACATGAAAGTTCAGAAGCAGAACTGATTAATTTTTTTTCATCATGTAAAGACGGTATGGAGCGCGAAATTGGAAGATAGGTGAACTTACAAATGAGAAGACTCTTGCTCCAGGTGCAATAGATAGCGGGGTAGTGTTGTCGGAATGTGCTGCTTGAAGCAATCATGATCTATAATCTTGAGACAATTGTTAGCAATTGCAAAAGGTAGATATTTCTGATAGAAATACGAGCATTAAGATCGTGGCTCATATGGTGATGCATGTTTGTTCGTGGCTCAGGAGATCGCCGAGAACTAAAAGGTGTGTAGTTTGAATCCGGGCCAGGAAGATGTGAATGAAAAAAAGGATGTAAAAACTTACCAAGTTAATTGAATACTGAAGGTCCAGCTGCGACTAAAGATATTAGTGCGCGAAGTTTTAAACTTCTTGTCCATTGATACCATTGTACCAGACAATGCTGATATATTGCATTGCATTGCTTAAGAAGCAATTGGCAACCATCTCGATACCAAATCAGAAGAATATTTTTTATTGTATAAAAGAGAAAATCTGGTCGAGGTTCGCGAAAATTTAAGAAGCTTCAACCACGCTAAAAACATCTGCAAGGATTATGTCGGTCCGTCTGTTTATCCGGACCCCGGCAGAAAATGTTGATAGTTCCTACCGCAGACAGCTGTTTGTGATGGAAGTAAAAACTAAGAAGAAGATACGATAGATAATAATTTAGGTTGGCCAATTTCACCAATTTTCATATCAATCATGTCTGATCGAAGGAGAATAAATGGTCCCCCCGGTGGAACAAATCCACCAGTCTTTTTAAAGTATCTTACCAAAGATTCAAAGAATCGTCCAGAACGACCATCTAGGAACAGGCAACCCAATGTTTTAAGGAAAATTTGTATGTATATATATCAATTTCAATACCAATGATTCCAACTCATCTCCAATCAGTTTTAAAGACCGGTGTAACACCGTCAGCCTCAGGATCCGCATATCTCGAACTTGAACCATCTCAACCCTCAAATCAATCAGCGCCAGGCCTTGCTTCCCTCTCTACATCTGGTCTCAAGCTTGCATGTACCGTCCATGGCCCTCGACCATTACCTAAGTCTGCCGCATTTTCACCGCATATGATCCTACAGACGCATGTCAAATATGCGCCATTTGCAGCTAGAAGAAGACGAGGATATGTTAGAGATACAAGTGAAAGGGATCTTGGAGTGCATTTGGAAACGGCATTGAGAGGTGTAATCATTGGTGATAGATGGCCTAAGAGTGGAGTAGAGATAAACATCACGATTCTTGAAGGCGAGGAGGATCATTGGTGGGGTGATGATAAATCTTTTGGTTCGTTGACTGCTGGTGGATGGGGTATGATGAGTGTACTCAGTGGTTGCATCACCGTTGCTTCTGCGGCTATTGCCGATGCTGGAATCGATTGTGTTGATGTTGTTTCTGGCGGAGTTGCCGCTTTAGTACGTTCACCGGCCACTCCAGAGCAGGATGGCTCTACTGAATTGGTTCTGGATCCAGTACCATCTGAACATAAGGAGATTCTAGCTGCATGTATTGTGGCATATCTTCCAGCTCGAGATGAGATCACAGACCTTTGGGTGAAAGGAGATATTGGACATTCAACTGAGTCTAATACTGATGATCCATCTTATGAAAAACTTACAGAGAATGCGGTACAGGCTGCTTTGGGTGCACACAGGGTTCTTATCGGAGCTCTGAAGGAAACTGCAGATATCAAATTCAGAAGATGAAACTGTACATGCAATGGTTGCTTGTGTATTTGAAATTGGAGTTTTTGGGCGTTAGAAAAGAGAGTAATCATCAGCCAACATTGGCTTAGGATGAATAAGGCGTTAAAGGAAATCAGGACTTTATTGCATGAAAGCGAGGAGTTTCTTGTGATCTTTCGAAAGTTAGGCTTCGATATCTACGTTGAATGATTACAGGATTGTCATTGTTCATTTTCAAACATAGATGCACATTCTTCTTGGTACACCTTTTTTCGTGATTGATTTTGTATTGTATGCGCGAACAACATTTCAAAAATTCCATTGAAGTCCCTTCACCATTTTTCACAATCAAAGAGCATCACAATAACTTCTCCCAATTTCATGGAATTCAGAGATTATATATGGAGAATATCTTGACATATCTCTCAAACAAACACCAAGCTTTCACCTCCCATCGAAAGCAGGCAGTTATAATAAGCCAACCTGCATACCAATACCCTCCCAAAAATAAAACATCCCCAAACTCTGTCGTTTCATTCATGTATCCACAGTTCGCTTTCATCATCTTGTGGTATATAGAAGACCAAACTTCCCATATCCTAAGTCAACTTGATGGAGAGTCCTAAGAGATTATTGATTACTTTCTCAAAATCCATGCTTAAACATTTCAATACAACACAACATCGTCATCTCACTCCAAAATTACATATCCAAAATCGCTAAACTCTTCAACCCTCAATATCACCAAGAAAGGCGAATCAGCAATCCAAATACTTGCCAACTTCCAAAACTCGGCAAGCTTAAGAGTGGAAAGGAAAAGGACGCGAATAACAGAAAACCATGCCCTCAAAAATTCAACTTGATGAAAATCTTGTGTTTTTGTATATTTGTCTACAGAATCTGATATGAAAACTGTGAGTACATTCCATAGACAGGATGTTTTGTTAGTACTTTGATTATATATCGACGTCTTCCAAATAACATATTCCAACGCTTTATCCCATTTTATCTTCCCCACCCCCTTTCCAACCAGCTTAATCAACACCCATGACTTCCTTTCCTCACTCTAACAACTTTCTCCCCACCCTATAGATTGATTTCGCAGCCGTAGGCCAAACAACTAATCTCAAATCTCCCGCTGCACGTATGCGCTACACGAGACTGAAACGCCAGATTGAAAAGGGGGTTATTGGGGCGAATGCGAATATTAATCTTGGGAGTGGGGGGGATGAGAGGGAGAGAAATGGAGAAGAGAAGGAAAGAAGGAAGGAGAAACGAGAGAAGAAGATGAGAGAGAAAAGAGAGAAGGAGAAGAAGAGGGAGAGAGAGGGTGTTGAAAAGAAGGAGAAAGTGGAAGCTAAGGAGTGGAACAGGGTGGAAGGCGGAATGCGAACGGGGATGGGGATGAGGATGGAGATGGGGATGGGGATGGAAATGAAAACTTATGGTGGAGTGGAGAAAAAAGAAGGGAAGAGAAAGAGGGAAATTGAAGATAATACGGAATCGGACACAGATGCGATCTCAGAACCGGATTTCCATCTCCAAGGATGGAAAAACTCCATACTCAACAACACAACCTCTCCATTCCCTGCAGATCCTCCCCCACTCATCCAACTTTCCACGCACCCGCACGCCGAATATCCCTCTCACCCATACATGCACAACCATCCCGCAACTTCCGCTCCCCAAACCAACATCTCGCAAAGCGATCTTTCAGAATCACAACCCATCTCTCAAACTCTTCTCGACCAACTCCCCTCCCAAACATTCTCCTCTCCTCCACTCAACCCCCAAATAAAACTCGAACCCTACTCCCCCTTCTCCTCTTTCTCCTCCTATTCCACGGAGCGCAGCCTACCCAATCTTCACGAGCGCACCGAAGACAAAGACGCAGATTCCGAAGACGAAATGCCGCTTGCCAAACGTCGAGGTGTGGGAAAACGACACACTTCTCAATCTCAATTTCAATCTCAATCTCAATATCCAAATGGAAATCCAAATCCAAGCAGAGAAGCAACTTCACATACGCATGCGTCGAAAATCGCAGAGGGATACAGAAATGCACATTCGCATTCTCATTTTCATTCTCATCCGTATTCTGAGACGAGAGATCCGCAACAAAATGTATGTGCAGAAGAATACACATACACACATCCTCCTCTTCTCGATTCCACCCACGAACCTAGTACTTCTCAATACGCACACGCACACGCATACGCATACCCAACTCCCTACACCACCCCCTACAAATCCATCTACATCCCTCAAACTCCCACTTCCCACGAAACCTTCGAGTCCTTAAACTCCACTCCCTCATCCCCATTAAGCCCCCTTCCCTCTCCCTCCCCCTCCAAATCCCCCTCCGCACTCTCAAACCCACCTCCTCATCCCTACAACTGGGCCGATACATACCAATCCTACCGGCATCTATGGGGCACCGAACGTATCGCACGGGTTTCGTCCCCGCCGCCATCTGTATCGATTTCTTCATCTTTGCCTCTATATCATAATCGTAACCATGATTATAATCACAGTCAAAGTCACAGTCACAGTCAAAGTCATAACCACAATAATATCGCAAACGCTAATGCGATTTCCGATTCTGATGTTCCTCTTCCTAACAAATCGCCTCCTTCGAATACTCATTTATTATCGCCGCAGTGGTGATTTCTTTCTTGCATGCTTGTTTGCTTCGAGTTTCATGCTATCAATTTAGCCGGGGTTTATTAGCCGGGGTTTATCGTAGATGGGAATAGATTAGATCAGATTAGACAGGGTTAGATTGAACAGATTCAATTCCACCATCTCATCTCTTTTCAAAAAATACAAATCCATATTCCTACTTCAGATTTCTCCTCTCCAATTGGCTTTCTTCAGATGAGATGACATACCACAATAAATGAACACTGTAGAAACAATTTCATTACATTATCATCTACTCCATCAAGATGATATCACTAGCCGCCCAAATCATGCTTGAGAAAATGATTATATATGTCAACTAAATTAATTCACCGGCATACTTGGATGATGCCTCTCATCTCATGCTCTATGTGCAGTACAGATATACCATCCATCTATTCGCAATCACCGTCTCAAGATTGCAATGGCAACCCCATGCGTATCCTAAAAATATGTACAAATGTCCTTCTCTGTAATAGACCGAATATCCACAAGCTGCGCCATATGTCAAGCCAAGCTTGCAGTCATTTATACTCAATCAGCACCATCCATCATTTTCAACGCCAGTTTTCAACTCCTGTTCCATTCCAAGTAAAAGCGCCATGCTAAAAGAAGAACACATGATAAAATAAGGATAAAGAGAGAAGCTTCCCAGTTTCGAATTAGAACTTGTTTCCTCATTTCACTGGTCTGTCGATTCATTCATTCTCGAATTCTCGTGTCATGACTCTTCAAGCGGTGTCATTAGCGGGCTTTTTCTCGTCGGACTGCCCGTTCTACTTCTTCTTCCTGCACCCAAAGAATGCAAAGTAGGAGCCAATCTTTCTCGACTTTCCGTTCTGACTACCAGGCCACTTCTACTCCACGCATTTGGAATGCCGCTTCCCAGACCAAGGCCAATACCTTGGCCATGCTGCGAATTATTATCAAAATAATTGGCCGCCTCAAAATTAACCACATTCAATTTCGGCGTTGCTAATCCAGAAGATCTTCCTACTCGAGATCCTTCACTTCCATCCGAATTGTCGTTTTCTTCAGATGAATCAATGTCCCCCAGTTCGAACTCAGCAGCGGCATCACCATCTTCCAAAACGCGTTCGTAACTAGTGGAGCCTCGAGATCCGAATAACTTCCCTGTGCCGAAGAAACCACGAGAACCTTTCTTTGGGCTACCTGGTCGACGGTTCCGACGTAAAATTGTATTGACACCCCTATATAACCGAAGTCTCCTATCTCTCTTTCGGAATAGATAAGCAAAGAGTACCATAATCAAGAGAAATAAGAGAAGTCCGGGAGTGGATCGAGAATGTGCCTTTTCAATGAGATCATCGGCTGCATCAGACCAATCGTCGTCGTCTTGAGGTATGGGATTTGCATTAGAACCAGCCAATTGAAAGTCTGTGGGGACTCCCAAAGTATTGCTACCAAAGCCGACTGGTAAGGCATCCTCACTTGCTGGAGGAACTTGACCAGATGCATACAATATCATCTTTCCCAATGTCCAACTGACTTCTACTCCATCAATCTTGTCGACTGCTTGAAATGGATCCAAGAAACCTTTGCCTTTCGAGTGAAGCAACATTTCCTTTGTCGCATTGTAACTTGGTCCTGGCTTCTCCAATCCGACTCTCGGTACTCCAATTCCATCGTGAAGAACATTCATTAGCCATGAAGCTTTGAAGCAAACTTCTTGAGCTGTCTTGGCATCTACCTTCTTTCCCCATTTCTTCTTCTTAACCTCTTTCTCAATGTCGTCCCATTCCTCGCTACAGAAATCTTTTACCAAAGCTTGATATTTCGTGAAATCATAGGCTCTATCTTTGTGTGACATTTCAAAAACCTCATGGGTTGTATGCCAATACTCAGAAACTCCAACGAAATGGTTGACATCAAAATCGATGGCAGGAACATGTTGCCCGTGAAGCAAGCAAGGTTGGTCGGCACAAGGGGCATCTTTATCCAATAAGGGATATGTCGCTGCTAAGCATTGATCGAACCGGCCAGTACCTAATAAAATTGGGTCTTTTCCTGCCAGTTTCAAGTCGTCAACCACATCTCCATCCAATGTTGTTTTGAGGCCGGCTGGAAGACATGGGTCGAGCAATTCTTTGGTATCCTTGGTATAAGAAGCATCCATTAAACTTTCGACGTAGCGATGTCTAGCTTGGTTGACACCAAATCCTAACCATGTCGTAGTGAAAACTTTATATTCTGCGGGTTGTCCATTCATAGTCCGCATTCGCAATAACTTGAGGTCATTTGCATGTTTTTCGGCTTCGGTAGTATTGGGCGCAAATGCAATTTGCGCTGACGCTCCACCCATATCTAAGAATCCATATGTATGGTGTCCCTTGCCATGGGCGTGTTCTTCTGGTGTATCGAAACCTCCGAGTAGATAATTTGCAGCGATCCATCCATACAGTCCTTCTGTTTCACCGGGGATAACTTGGATATGTAAGCCACAATCTGGCAAGTCGAACTTTGTATGCTTTTGAGCATAGGCGCAAATCTCGGATAGAAGTACATTTTGTTGAACTTGAGGTAGTAATCGCATACCAGCTGTTGCCATCAAGAATATTGGTGTATCGGACACTTGATCTTTCGGGACGATATCGAGAGCGTGGTCGAGGAGCTGTTGTAAATGTTCTGGACCGACATCTTGGGGCTTTTCGCCGAACGTCGATACGCCTGGCTTAATCTTCTTCGTCCATTTCTTGTTGGTTTCTAGCTTGGGTAAACTTTGTAGGGTGAGGGCGTCGGGATTCTGTAGTGCTTTGGCACTGTTAAGCCATCTATAGATGTGAACTCGAGTCCCTGACGAACCCGCGTCCAGGATGACACCATATCGCCCTATTTATTGACAATTGTTGGTTAGCAAAGGTTGATTGGGGTGTAAGTACAGCTGATGGATTTATTGAAGGGCTGATTTACATTTACCCATGAGGAGAATGGGAATCGATTGAAATTGGTGAAAGGTATCGAGGTGACGAGAGGTGATGAGAGACGAGGCAAGTTGGGTAGAATGATGGGAAGGGTGGTCAGGATAGAAATCAATCCCTTATCCCTTCGATATTTTGCGAGGATTAAGATTACGAATGTATATGTATGTATGAGGTGAGATGTGAGGTAAATCGGACTATAGTAGTGATCGCCTCCAGCTGATGAAGCTTTCCAAGGTTCCCTCAATCCCTTATCTCTTCGGAAGTTTCGCGAGTGTCGAGATTAAGAATTTGAATGCATTCGGTCGAAAGATTCAAATCGGAGAGAGCGAAAGGGGTGCACTGTATGTGAGGTACGGAATAGAAGACTGAAAACGAATGGAATGATCTTCAATTAATGAAACTATTGAGATCAAAGTAAGGTCGGGACTTTGTACATGAAAATGGGTGGGATTATTGATTTGATTTGTTTGTTAATTAATTAAAAAAGCATTTATTAATTGATTCTTCGTATTGCGATAGCGATGAGATACTGGAGGGACTAGTAGGTATGCATGAACGAATGTGAATGCGAATGTAAAATGTGAAATTGAGTGGTGAATTGGTGAATGGGTGAATTAGTGAAGATTACATAATCTTACTAGGTAGGTACGGATGAATTTACTGCAGGACCCAAGACATTACCAAGAACCGCCTAATTTGGTATAAAAGCTTGGGAAGATGGTAGAATATGATTGGATACATGTCGGAAAAACTAAAGATAGTCAGCAGATTTGCTGCCTTAATATATCTCGAGACAAGTCTAAGGCCACAAGATCTATATTTAAAACATCCGTCGTTAACCTTCTTACTAGTAATAACCTTTTCCATCCAGTCCACTTGCATGGTGCACCATCATCATTGTTCCACACGTCAACCAATCAGTCCTACTCTATTCGACTCTCCCCAAGCCCACCAAGTCCACCGAATCCACCAAACAAACTTCTCTGATTTTTTCTTAGAAGGAAAACCCCTCCTCCCCTCCTCGAAAAGTTGGGGATAACAATACGAGTATTCGGAGAACTGATGATTCTCTCTTCCTTTGATTCGAGTATATTGCTTATCACATCCTCTCTGTACATATACGAACCAACCCAACTTCAAAGTTTGGATGCGGGTTACAACTTGCTACATATCTATACGAAAGGCCACGTAATTTCGTGCTTCTCTAGGATCTACTGAAACTCCAACCAACGACGGTTACAACCACTAGTTGTTAGTTGCTCGATCATTGATCCCCTAGTCTTTCTATGATCTACATGCGTTCACACCCTCGTCACAGATAAATCAACCTTCCTATATGGGGTTCAGATAGCATGCAACTCTATCCAGCAGTCATGTATGGCTTTAGAGTGGCTATCTTGTTTCTTATTAATTAAGAACTTTACTCGTTGACGTCTCATTCACATGGTCCTCATCTTGAATCTCATACGTTCTGCACACAAACATAAGCATGCATTGTTTATATATCTCTGTTCGGGAGGCTGAGATAGTTTCTCAAACATCAGTTGGAAAGGTTACCATGCCGCGTAATGCATGGACGTGCGCCGTCTGTTCTCGTTACTTTGGATGATTGTCAAACGGCGCCAACCACATATACTGTGAAGATTATGACCCTTCATAGGGAATGATTGGAAGCATAAGGTGTAGAACATGAAGACATTTACGATGCATCGTTCTAGAATGGCTAAAGAAGAAAGAATCTATCGAGTGATATTTCTACTAGTATTGATTGGGACTAGCTCCATTGATATTCTGTCACCATAGGATCATGAATAACTTCAACATATACTGTATAAATGTGATGGCTGTTCCCTTACTTCCCAAACATGTATCTGAGTATTTGGCACTCTCTTCAATGTAGTTGTATCGAAATTCTATTTTAATCTTTACTTAAAAACTGGTGAAAGCTTTTACAAAATAATCGAGTTGGTAGACTGCAGATAGTCTCAATCGTCACTATTAAAACATTCCTGTGTCGATTCATTTTGTTTTGGGGGACAGTAGAAAAGCGTGTCCTGAAATTTTCATTACTGTTAACACTCTTTCCCTGACTTTTAAAATATAACAGATGCCTATTGTTTGTAGAATGTTAGTCTCCCTATTCCACGTTCTTATATTGATTGCTGTTGAACGGTCAGCCGAATCATTCATAGATATCTTTTTATTACTTTGTTCTCCACAAATTTCAATTCACTGATCTTGTGGCCCATGAAACTGTGCTGTCTAGCATATCTATAGATGACTTAAGCGACAGTACACGACGGGGAGGTCTCGACCTATGAATTGGTATCCAGAGGCCCCATTTCTTATTCTTTATACATCTTCGAAATGTCCATTTTGAATAATTTGTAGGCATCAGCAATTGAACACTGGGTAGCGTACAAACTGGTTTGTGGACTGAACGAGTTGGCCAAAAATTCTACATTATAAAACTACTTTGATTGTCCAAATAGTAGTCGTCCATATCATCAATACTACTCTACAATCACTTTCTCGCATTGAAAACAAAGTCCAAAAGTTACACAAATTACTCAGCGTTCAGCTTTCACAGGCGCAATATAGAGAGACAGCTATCGAGCTTTCAATAACATTTCATATCGAAAATGTCTGATGACAGGACCCGGCAATGGATGTTTCAGGTTGACCAAGAAAGGTACGTTTGGAAGGAGGAAGCCAATGTTCTGGGCGTTCTGGGCGTTCTGGGCATAAATCGATAACGTATAGTTATGTACGTGCTAATCCTGCAACAATACCCAAGACACCACCAGAATCGGTGGCATCATTCACATCGGAGGCATTATTCGCACCGTCTATACACCACCGCGTTCAAAGCTATCAAAAGTATCGTCTGGAGCACGACTGACAATGGCACCAATGGCACCGTCTAATGCACGACCAGCGACATCGGGAGAAAATGGTGGGATGGAGAACAAGGCAGAGGGACAAGTGTCTGGACAGATGATGATGAACATAAAGGAGGAGATGATAGAGGAACTGAATGATGATAACATTATCGAGATGAAGGGTTAATGAAATCAAGTTATACGGGCAGAGAAGATAAGGGAAGCACTCGAGAGCAACCACATCATGGAGGTGAAGATAGGAATGATGGAAATGATGGAATGGCTGAAGGATCAGAGCCAATGAGCAATGGTGATGAACCTCGAGAATCAAGTTCGTATGCAGGTTCAGTAGGAGGTGGCGAGAGACCTCCAGACTCGACAAGAACCAGTAAAAAACATTCAGCATGGGTAATAATAAAAATGAAAACCCTTCAAGATCGGAACAGGGCTCTAAAGTTGTTGTTGGATATACAAGAAAGAGGGTCGGATCTTCAACATTCAAGAATGATGCAAGAGATGATAATAGAAGTAAAATGGAAATTGAAATAGGTAGTAGAAGAAGTGATGGTGGAAGTCGGAGGGGAGGTGAAGGAGATGGTGGAAGAAATAGTAGAACACTTTTAGAGTTAGAGAATGGTGAGACATCTTCACAACCAGGGAAATATGGTAAAAAAAACATTCAGAATCAACAAAGATGGTGGAAGAGATGATAAAAGTCGGAAGAGAGGTGATAGAAAAGGCTCATCGAACAATGGAGAAAAAGACAACGACGAAATTACGCCAGTCTCAAATCGACATGACGACGGTGGACACAGTGAGAAGAGAGATGAGAAAAAAGTTTCTTTTCAAGTACAGATAAAGATCAAGCCCAACTACATGAAGGCATTCCGGAAGACCCCAACGATTTAAGTGATCACCCAGAAGATTATGAAGAAGAATCTAGGACGAGAGACCAAAAAATCAGGACCGGGTGGAAAGATTTAGCGAGCTTTGTAAAGACCCTAACAAAATCAAATCGCTTCCCCGAGGCGATGGAACACATGAACAAGGATTTGCAGAGAAAGGGAGAGCTAAGTCGAGCATAAACCCTAAGAGGCGAGAAAAACGCGTTGAGAGAGGTAAAGATTGGGGTTACGAAGCTAAATGATGAACTCTTCTTGCGCGTTGTGAAAGTTGGAAGTTCGGATTATTGAAGGGAGTTACGTATACCTTGGGATTTTTGCTGGACGTTTGACTTGGGTTTATTTGGTTTGATTTGATTTGGAGCCGCATATCTTGTTGACGTTTTTAGAGCTTTGTTTCGATTTGCTTGTCTTTTTGTTGTGGGTTTTTGGGAATGCATAGAGTGGATATAAATAAATTGTTGCAGTTTGAGTTTTTCTTTCTCCTTTCTTGATTCATTGGCTTGATGAAAATTCACATCGTGTATATGTGTGTGTGTGTGTGTGGCTATGTGTTTGTATTTGTGTTTATGTATGGCACCTCCGTATTTTCTTTCCGTGGCGTGTAGTGCAAGATACTCCAGAGAAAAGTCTATTCATCTATGGAGAGCTAGTTTTCAGGACAAAGGTATACTAAATTGTCGTATGGAGTTGATTGAGATATTGGCATTTTGTGTATACTCATATACTCGACATATCTCGCACAAATTCTAAAGTGCTATTAGTGTTTGTATAGTGATTAGCTTTATTCTACATAGACTTGTACCCAAGAACTCGATTGGTACGAGAAATTTAGGGTGGGAAGTGGTTGAATTTGTAGACGATAAAGGAATATTCAACAAGAGATGGATGATTGGATATTAAAGTAGCTAATGATCCCCCTAGAAGCATACTCCATTACTGATGTATATATTAGAGTAGTTTCCCGTTTTTAATATTATAATTTATACATATTGCGTTCGAGAGTTTTGCGATCAGATCAATTTCTCGATTCATATGGAACTTGATTATCACAACTACTTCTTCCCATTAATACATCCTTTTCACTATTTCCACTCAATTTCAAGTAAACCTCTTCCGAATTTTCAATTTAAAACACTGCATTACAGATTCCTTAAAGATACTAATCGTCATCGCAAACTACGGACAATAAAAGACGTACCTCTCAACCCAGTTCAAACAGGTGGAAAAACAACGACAGAATCACAAACTAACTAATCATTGTGGCTAGCAGAGGTGGTCAGTCTGGTGAAGGAAAAGAGAGAGAGAGAGAGAAACAAGAGCGAAAAGGGGGATAGAAGGAGGAGAGAAGGAGGAGAAAGGAGCAAAGAAAACCGTAGAGACGGGAGCAGAAAAGAACATAAACCACAGCGAGAGAACAGGCGGATTTGACGACTTACCCAGCATTGCAGCGGGATCGATGTGTTCCGTGGATCCGTCTGATAGTGCTAGTAATGTCATTTACCATGCACCACCACCAACCGTAACTTCCAGTTCAATTCGGACGCCACTTACATCTCGTCCTCGTGTATCCATAAATCTGAAGTTGCGGGTCGCAAGAGTGATGGCGGAAGAGGGGGAGAATATGAAATCCAATCCAATCATGGTGCTAGATCACGACATTCTGGGAGTGTGAAGGCCCCGTCTGAGATTAGCGATACCAGTTCCTCCGAATCAGGACCAAGCGTATATTTCCCTTCAACTAGAATGTCACGCCCAGCTCGTTCTCAAGTATCCACTGGATCTAATTAGTAATGCCAGCACGCAAGAATTCTCTATTCATGGATCTGGCGCTCCTGAAGTTTGCGAGCAGGTTACCGAGAAGAAACAGTATTTGGTCCCTGCATATTCGCATAGCAAAGCTACGGAGAAGAAACAGTTACCGTATAAGGTCCCTGTAAATTTGCTTCCAGATGATGCTAGTGAAGACTCAGATCAAGAAGGATCGGCAAAATGGAAACCCAGAAAAATCGCGTATCAACGGCCATATACAGCAGTGCCAAATCCGCACTTCTCACATGAATAGTCCCCAAAGTTTTTTGCAAAACGGGAATGGCGACTCGGTCAGTCATGAGTGTAGTATAAGTTAGTATTCGGCAAGCTGATATGCCACACATTGACGCGTGGTATCCATTGCAATATGTGTAAGCTGTATTATATAGGACTGGTGAAATACCAGAATACTGATGAAGATTCCTACTATGACTTCCTAAGGATTTCAATGGCATTTCCTTGAAAACTTAAAGAGATTCAATGAACTTTAATAAAATTGCTTCAGTATTGACTGTCTGAGGGATGATTTATTGAATTTCGGCATTTTCATGTCCTTTCAGTGATTTATAGTATCATTGATGACTCTATTGGTATAATATTTGATGAACATACTGAAACACATAGTAGAGATTATGAATTGCTTCACTATAATGGGCTGTATATGAAAAACGATGTATATTGCTTTAAGTACTAGTCCTGACAACGACATAATAAGACTCAACGCCAGGTACGAAACAGAAGAGTATAGGTCGAGAGTTTCTTGTGAAGTGAACAACCTTGATCGGAGGTAGACATGATAATTTATCATGCACAACTTACTGTAGAATTATTTTATAATTATTACATATAATTACATTATTGTATTCTAGTAGTCGCTCAATTTCTGATGTACCAATTGTTACATCAGCGACAACAATATATTATTCTCGTCAACCTTATTCAAGCGTTCACAATCACATACATCATCTCATCCAAAGTCATTATGAACTTGTTAGTGTTCAAACGAGCTAGCTCTGAGGCCTCAGGGCCGATGATTCTCTAGCTAACTTTGAGATAGTAGCTCTATCGAGTCAGATGGTTTTATATGATTGGTAGATCTAATTTACAACACCTACTTCAAACACATGCAGCTCTGATTCTCCCCAATTTCGAACGAGAGGCAAAATGTATTGCGGTTTGTGGGTAAGATAGAACATTCTCAGCGTCTAAATTCATTCGATTGATTGTTTCTATTGCTTACTCTCTTACATAGCGTTTGTGCTGTGTTTGAATTATTTGATGCTTTGATGCTTTGATAGAAATACATAGTACCTAAAACCTTGACCAGAATTCTGGTAAACTGATTCTCCAATTCCTCTGAACGTTTGCGGATGAAGTTGCGCTCCTGAATGTATCATGGGAGAAGTTAGAGTTAGAGTGTACTGGAAAACCCGCCGGGTTCAAACGTTATTGAATCAAAGTCTACAAATAAGGATGCAGGCTCGCGTTACAAATTCAAAAAACAAAAGGTGCAAGAAAGATTTGTTATCTCCCCATTGTCTCAAGCGAATCAATGAGACTTGTCAATTGATCTAGAATTGAGCAGCTGGAACGGATTTTCAATACTAAGATAAGGTTCATTAATAACAATACCTGTATGGCGGTTCACAAGAAACAGTCTTAAAGCTCAGACTTCTGAACTTTTGTTTGTAGCTCTGAATTGTTTTTGCAGAGAACATCCACCCATCTGCAGTCTTTGCTGGCCGAGTGCCTCAATGACTCAGAGATCGAAAATTTCAAGATCAACAATACATTGCAGAGACCGTCAAGTATGACAAATTTCCATGTCATCTACATCGTATTCATGTTCATGAGCCTAACGTTGACTTTAGTCAAACTTTGAATACGGTTCTATGGATGCAATGTTTTCCGTCCTCGATATGATTGAAAGATTAAAGAAACGGCCTTCATCGAAATTTGCGCAGATGGTATGGAGCTTTCCAGTACCGGGTCAATGATTGGAAACAATCGATAAAGGCCTCGGTAGATATGTCTTTGGTTCTAGGCCACTTAAAATTGTGCGCAGAAATATAATTCGATCAAGAAATATGACGTTAGCTGTGGTACAAACGCAAATTGATAGTCTCTGAGGTACGAAAAACTCAAATTTGATTCAACTGTAAGTAACTTCCCGAAATGTCGTTCTAGATGTGGACGATTCCGGTGGCATCTACTCATCAGTTTCGGGAAGGAGTAAGCAGCTTTACACGCTACTCGAATAGAATCTTTGAGTTCAATAGAAGGAGAAGGAGTACCTTCCCAAATAGAAGTAGATTTCGTATCATGTAGAAAAACAATGATAAGCTAGACCCAGACTGCATTCCGGTGCAGTATTTGTGCCTAAGTGGGTGATCTCCAATCTTCAAACTTCCGGGATTCATTTGGGCAAAACAAAGTCCACAACTCCAGAATAATACCCCAATAAAGCAAACACAGATCAGGGAGGGTAATTATGAATCTTCAACACTTGCCGGTTGTAGATTTAGAATTGATTCAAGCACAAGATCATGTTCTAACGATCACGTGACTCAATGGAAAAATTACCTATTTTCGTCTTATCTTATCTGTAAGGTAACCCTATTCGCTTGAAGTTGCTTGAAATGAAGGGGAAAATCGGATGACATCTACGCACGCATACGCTGGTGCAAAATGTCATCGTACAATTGACTTTTGTATCTAGAACCTAAATGGCGCGAGTACGACGTTACAATATCCAGACGTGTGGTAATGTTGTTATGATATGATACAATTGTTCAACTTTGATGCTTGTGATCAAATTTCTATGCAGTTTCGAGAAATTCATTGAAGTTCGAATATCGAGCCAAGAAAGAAGAAACATTGCTGGAATTATGAAGTTGGCTCTCTCGGGTCCCAAGACACCACTAGAATATCCCCAGACTCTCAAAGTCTCCACCACCCACGCCGAGATTCTTGACCGAAAGCTTTACCCCGAGCCCCTCTGCCCCAGCTTTTTTGCCCAGCGAATACCAAGACGCCAGAAGAGAATGAATAAGAACGCAAAAAATATGTCAAACATTCCCCAAAAGATCGTCCTCTACCCCTCTACCCCTCTACCCCAGATTTTTTGCCCAGAATTTACCAAGACGCCAGAGAAGAAAATGAAAATGAACGCAAAAACATATCAAACAATACCCAAGAGGATCGACCTCTACCCATCTTATTTTTAGTCACAAACTGACATGACATTTTGACACATTTTGACACTCGGAAATTAAGAAGCTATCAAACTTTGGCAGGCGGTGTATTCCGACGACGTCCTAAGACCTATTGAATTTCCCAAATATATTTCAAGGAGTTCTTGGTTTCTCGAGCAGTAAAACCCCTCCTAAACCACTGCCAAAGCCTTCCGTCTTGGTGATGAAAGCTTGAAACGATTCCAAGATACCAAGGTGAATCGAATCATGAAGTACCGAAACTATTCAGCTCTCTCTCGCTCACACCGCAGCGCCAATGCTGACTGGGTGTTGAGTACGGACGCCATCAGTAGCAAGGGTGTCACCGGATTCAAAATATCACCCAGTACAATACGACAGCGAGGTCGAAAGTCGTTTGGTAAAGAACTATGCACTCCGCCATTCCATTAGACCGTCGGCATCCCAATCTTATATACTGGAGAAGAATTGAGAATCTGCAGCCTATTTGTAATTCCGGGGGTTGTTTTGTTTTGACTCCGTATTAGGTGTTCTCGGTAGACTTGCCTTGTGTACGGTGCCTACCCAGCAAAGTACAGAATGAGTGCGGATGTATCGTTCCATTCGGGATCGGACATTATGGCTTGAGGTAGCTCTTGGAAAATTTGCGGCCTATTCTTCTTAGTCTCCTACGGAGTAAAGTAAGCTCCAAGCCAGAGCAGTTGGATCCCCACACTTGCACAGATAATATGTCACTGTGATCGGCAAAGAAAAACGACACCAAATTATAGAACTGGTCATTAGAGATAAAGTCTAGACATATTTCTATTAGTCAGTAACTTCAAGATGTGGTATAAGAGAGTGGGAGACTTGGTCTGTGTTTACATCGTCGTCGTTTCGACCATGCTCGCCATGCAATGCTATGATACTAACCATCATGGGAGCCCATGCCATATGTCAAAAAACCCTAGTCAGAAGGAAAGAAGATATAACACCCAACTAGTATGGCAAGCATGCTTCCAGCCGAGGAACAGCAACCAAAGCAGGATCAAACAAGCTTATTCACTGGATTACGTTCCATTTTTCCCCCATTCTCCATGCGGGGAGCGCTAGGATTTACAGTTGATGATGGCTGCGCTAAGAACAAATCAAACATTTTTCGAACGCTAAATCATCAGCTGATGAATCAGAGTCCCGGAGGAGATGAGGGAAGCATGCATGTATCCATGGTTAGCAGATGGAAGATCGTAAAAAAAGTTGGTGTCTAACTATCGCTGGAACGTTTCCTTGTGCTACATGCGCGTTTGAAAGGGAGACAGATAAGTAGGTAGCTCCCCGCCTCTCATTTCTGAAATAATCTCATCATATCATCCTCATTCTTCATTTATTTCAAGCCCAGCTTCGTGTGGACACGAGCTATCACTCCTCTGTTGGAGCGAATATAGAATATTGTAACTCTACTTTCCAATTGGTAACGACATCGATCTTTTAACTGCTTGAATACCTTATCATAAGACTCGAATCAGGATAATAAGGGAATCGAAAGGTACCAACATACATTCAATCCTGCTTATCGCAGTAGAAATTTAAACATCAAAAACTAATACGTCTTTTGCAGATATCAAAGCTCAGCATGGCAGACCAATACGGTGCTGCAGGCTATGATGCCCATACGAACGAATCTCAATCTCCCCAGAAGATGTCCATTGGGGAGTATTGCAGGACCCGAGTTTCTACACTCAAGCCTCCTATGCACAAGGCTCCTAACCCATTCAAACTTCTGGCTATGTTGAATGGAAAACAATGGCTATTCTTCCTTGTAGCGTTTGTTGCTTGGGTATGTTCTCAACTGTTGACACAATTGGTGTTTTCTCCGCTAACTATTTTGCCTAGACTTGGGATGCGTTCGATTTCTTTACAGTCAGTCTCACTGTTTCGGACCTCGCAGAGGAGTTTGATAAGACTACTACGGACATCACATGGGGTATTACATTGGTTCTCATGTTGAGATCTGTTGGTTCTATCATCTTCGGACTCGCAGCAGATAGATATGGTAGAAAATGGCCCTTCATTGTCAACAACATCCTATTCATCATCCTCGAACTCGGTACCGGTTTCTGTCAAACTTACAAGCAATTCCTCGCGTGCAGAGCCCTATTCGGTATTGCAATGGGCGGATTGTATGGAAACGCTGCCGCTACCGCGCTTGAAGATTGTCCCGAAGAAGCTCGTGGTTTGATATCTGGTATACTTCAACAAGGATATGCTTTTGGATATCTTCTCGCAACAGCTTTTGCTAGAGGGTTGGTGAATACCACTAGCCATGGATGGAGACCTTTGTTCTGGTTCGGTGCAGGCCCACCTGTTCTCATCATCATCTTCCGTCTCTGTCTCCCGGAAACAGATGCGTACAAGGAGCGTGTTTTGGTTAGAAATGAGCGAGGTAATATCGGAGCTACCTTTATTGCTGAAGGAAAGGTAGCATTGAGGGAGCATTGGCTGTTGTTGATCTACTTGGTACTTCTAATGGCTGGTTTTAACTTCATGGTAAGCTCTCCCCTCACCACTGATCGCAAGACACCTTACAGTATTCATGCTAACCCAAATCCAGTCTCATGGTTCCCAAGATCTCTACCCAACCATGCTTAAAAATCAATACAACTTCTCCGCAAACGCTGTTACCGTCATCCAAGTCGTCGCCAATCTTGGTGCCATGACCGGTGGTACTTTGGTCGGTTACAGTTCCCAAATCTTCGGTCGTCGCTTCTCTATAATTGTCATATCCATCCTCGGCGGTGCTCTTCTCTACCCCTACACATACACTTCTTCCAGCGCCGTCATCGCCGCAGCCTTCTTCGAACAATTCTGCGTTCAAGGAGCCTGGGGTGTTATCCCCATCCATCTCATGGAACTTTCTCCTGGCTCTTTCCGAACATTCGTCGTCGGTACCGCATACCAACTCGGAAATCTCGTTTCCTCCGCTAGTTCGACTATCGAGTCCCAATTGGGAGAAAAATTCCCTCTTCCACCTAAAGGCAAAACGGCTCGTTTTGAATATGGAAAGGTTATTTGTATTTTCATGGGTTGTGTGTACGTCTATGTGATCATATTGACATTTGTGGGACCAGAGTATCTAAGAAGGAGCTTTGATGTTCAACATGATAGTGATTTGGCAGCGGCAGCAGGCCACGATACAATTGAGAAGAGCATGAAGAAGATGAGAGGAAATGGAGGTGTGGAGAACGAATCAACTGAGGATGTGGATGCAGGGTTGGAGAAGGGAACTGCGAGGAATATTGATTAAAGACAGATTTGGAGGGAAATGATGGGTGGAGTGCAAGGTACGAAGGGAATGAATTGCTTTGGATACGGGTTTTTAATTGTTGGATGAGTATACGTCAATAAATAGCTCCCTACGGGATGAATGAATTATGACATGACAAACTATATCTTGCAGCTTGCAGCGTGCCCATTTCTATCTTCTCTGCGCATCGTGGCTTGTAGTACAATTATACCTACTATTCGACAACCCATTGCGTACATAACTTAAGTGAAGACTATCGCGGTGAATTGCAGGGTGGGCTTAAAAAGCTCACTGAGAGGAGTCTGGCTCAAGAAGCGTTATAATATGGAACCACCAGGTATAAAATTACCCTCGGGTTTATATAAACTGACCAACTCTACCTGGTAAACTCTATAAAGGAACTCGACAGGGTGTGAGGAAGAAACTTTTGCCCGAATGGTTCAGTGCGGAAAACATTAGTCTCTTCGTTGAATAATTTTGTTCAGAGTGGTCTTGGTGAAAAGAGTGATTTGTATTAATGGTCAAAATTGGCCCAAATGCAAAAGAAAAATTGTGTGATGTCAATGATTGGGAGTGATGATATGTGTTATTCATTGCGTAAATATTACATTTCTAGTTGGATCTTGAGATCTCTTCAACCCTCCCAAGCGGATATTATGGTATATCATGCTCTAGATGTTTCACCCGCACTACATCATATTTTCTGTGCCCTGGGGAATTCCAGACGCAATGCACTTACAAAAGGTCCTTAACCTAGTAAATTCAAGGTTGGACAATGAAAGTATCCAATGTCGAGGCTCCACTGAGAAAGCTCGAACTACTGAATCATGTAGTGTCCGAATCGTTCCAGGAGTCGTTACTCGTCCAAGATTCATCACTATCCATCATCATCATTCGTTTCATTTCCTATCCAAAGTTCATCGTTTATCTCTCATCGCCCTTTAATTTACCAGGTATCTCTTCTAAGTCTTCCACACTCTCAATTTCCAACACTTTCGAAACTTCCGCAGTATTCCTCATCAGCTCCTTAGCCCCAGCATACAACATTCGCTGTTCGGCATTGACTGTAGGTGGGAGATAAAAGATTAGGACATATGGGACGGAGAGACGGCCAGAGGGCTAGGGTAGGTCAGCTTTTGGTGAGCAGAAAAGAAGCAAAGGGATAATATACCAGTGTGCAAGGATAGCTTAGGAGGATAAAGCGAGGTGAATGATCTGGCAGGTCGTCGCCTATGGATTCGAGATCTTTATATACAACTCCATCTTCGTCTTGTTTTATTTCGAGATTGCTTTTATCAATCAGATCTAAGGGATAAGAGGGGATCAGCAGACATTCCATTTCGTACAAAAATCCAGCAGTTCGATGATATTGTATATCCCATACTCATTTAGATAATATCAAAGTTGTTTCTCAGCAATAACCCGAGGGTTATATGAAGGTGGTGGTGCAACTGGTGTGTAATCATTGTGGGGTTTGGTTGGAGGAATGTTCAAATATCTTGAAAGGAGAGGGAGACAAACATATAACAGCTTGAGGATCACTTGCGCGCGAAGTCCCGAGTCTAAATTTACGTAGATGTGCCTTCGTTTCGGTGCTGAACGTGTAAAGGCGCGATTCTGAAGACTAGATTGATCGAATTGGTTAATTGCGTGCTTTCAGAAGGAGTAGGAAGGTTATGTTACCATAATGAAGATATCGATATATCAATGTATGCGTATTTGACAGGAGTGCAAATGAGGAGGTTGCTGTCGAGATTAAAGTAAGAGCTGGGTGTTTCCTTGTATATCAAGATATGAACTTGTACCGGTAAAGGTTTGAATATCAGACGGACAGACCAGGAAACTATAAGTGACGAGGAGTGGGCTGTTTAGCTTCATTTCGGATAAAACTCGGATATGTAAGCAAACGAACAACACCAAAAAACCAACACAATTTAAAGATATGCAACAAATTGTCAAAATTGCGTATGTTGGTCACATGAGTTAAGAATGATTGGACTAAGCAATCTCATATCCAGTGATAGAGTTTCAACATTGAGAAACTAGCTGGGAAACGCAAATTGCTACCCGTTTCCATCACTGAGCAGTCAGGCTTTCTATCAGGTCCAGTATTCCGGATCGGCCCTTATGGTTATGGCTGGAACGTCAATGTATTTGTATGATATTCTACGCAGTTAGTTCTGTGCAGTCATCAAATTCAGATAGCCTCTCTGACTTCCAGCATTTGAGTCATTCTCTTGTTAAGTTTCTGCACCCGAACCTCATAGGACTTCGATTGCAATAGTGGTCGGTGACAGAATTTCACATCCTGATCATCATGGTTATAATTATGGCCGGAGATACTGGCATGATGAGCAGTTCGGCAGTCCAAAATCGATTGGATCCAAAAAAAATAACGTCGTTACGTTACGGGTACGCATCACAACATGTCTCACAACAGACATCGCACGCCAGCTAGGGGCTATCATCGAACTCTTCACATCGCCTCGAGAATTAGCAATCATCAGATTAAAAATCAGTTGCGTAGGTTTCAGACTGGCATTCGAACGTACTACGGATAGAGGTTGAGGTGGGCGGGCGGTACAAGTCACTGGAATATTGTATGAAAGGGAAGCCACGGGACCAGGTAGTAATTGGCAAATAGATAATAGAGAGAGCATGATATGAGGGTTGGTCATGGAGTATCCTTGGGCATTGAGAACGGAGCATTCGATTATAGAATGGCCAGGTGCAGGGTCTGTTGAAGCAGGAGGGAATTGCGGTTGAGGGGGCCACATGGTGGGCTGGAAGACTTGATGAAAAGGAAATATGGAAAATGAGGATTTTAGTACCTTTTCAGCTGTTTTTACGGTCGAAAATGTGAGTGATCACTAATTCTATCCTGTATATCATGTTCACCTCAGGGTTCAGGAAAGAATTCTTGAACTGCGAGTATATATGTATCCACAGATTTCCAAACACTGAAAATTGAACAATTCGAAATACGGAGTACGATCCGAAGTCTCATCCCTACAGCAAAATTCAATCGTCCTTGTCTGTATGGACATTGGAATTAATCTAGAACATCACGACTTAATCATCTGAAAAGACAAGCTCAGAATTGTGTTCTCTCCGGGTTATCACGTGGTCGGGACAATTTCAGCTCTCGCAGCTAACTCCGTACGGAGTCGGGGAAATGTTGCGCACAGCCACGGCAATTCCACCACTCAGTCTTACCTCTCTGACCCACTCTTAGGGGTTTTCGAGTAAAGTCCTCTTTTGACATAAAGGATTCGCTTCCTCTGCGCGCGTAATGTACGTTTCGTTTACGTGCGTAACAATGTGCCTCAAGAAGTCGTCCTAGAATTTGGCCTGATCAGCATTATATCTAATTATAAGTCTGACACGATGTCAAATTAATTAAGTATAAATCGAGGTATGCCCCTTTGATTCAATCTCGATATCATCACTCCATTTCACAATTCAACTACAAAAATTTCAAACTTATCACTTCACTTCACCCAGTCTTCATTTCATAAAACCCAAATAAGATTCTTATATCGAACATGTCTATCACTACAGCCCAAGTTAACCCCTCAATCGCCCTTTTTGGTGCGACGGGTGGAACTGGGCTTGCAATACTCAATGAAATCCTCTCTTCCTCATCTACCACACATCTCAATGTTTTGTGTCGTACCCCGTCAAAACTCTCTCAATTCTCCAATAAAACCATCTACCCCAATCTTCATATCATTCAAGGCGACATTCGCGATGCCACCGCCTTGAAATCCGCCCTTATCGACCCGGCCACCAATCTTCCCGTCGATATTGTCGTCTCTTCTCTAGGCATGACTCTCATCCGTTCTTCCACTTTCTCAATGAAATGGTCAGATCCAACTCTCTGTCAGGACGGTGTCAAAGGGATCTTGAGCACATTGGATTCTCTAGAAGTAGAATATGGACCAAAGAATGTGAAGACGAAAGTGATAGTGGTGAGCACGACAGGAATTAGTAGGAAAGGAAGAGATATCCCTTGTAAGATGAGACCGCTGTACAGTCTTGGAAAAACCCCGTTTGAGGATAAGATACGAATGGAGGAGGAAATTGTGAGGTGGGCGGGAGAAGGAGAAGGAAAGAGGTGGATGGTGGTTAGGCCGAGTTTGTTGATTAATGGGGAAGCGAAGAGGACAGTGGTTAAGATTGGATGGGAGTTCCCTGGAGCTGGGTATAGAAATAGTGAAGATGAGCGAGAGAATAATGTGGTGGAGAAGGTGGAGGAAGAGGAGGATAAGTTGGAGATTGGATATCAGATCACTCGAGGAGGGGTTGGAAAGTGGATTTATGAAGAAGGCATTCGAAATGGAGGGAGGAGCGAATGGGAAGGAAGGTTTATGAGTTTGACATATTGATTTCCTTGGGTTTCTTGGTTGCAGGCGTTGTTTGTTAGCTTCTTCTTTACCCTAAATACCCTGTTCTTCGGCAAGATTCGATGTTAGAGCTATATAGTTTAGGACACTTTTTTTTTCGACATTGTTAGTATATTTCAAAGCCATGGTTTGCACTTCAGCTCTAGTCCCCCATAGCTTATGATATTCAATGGAATGTGTGAATTCTATAAACATAAGAGCTACTTTACTTCCATTTCTGAAAACACCTGTGCACTTGAATTTGGGCACCCGATTCTGAACTGGTTATTGACCCTCTCAATATGCAATTCTAAGAGCAATTTTCTTATGCTGTATTCCGAAATTCTATGGATCAGCAGTGCTAACTAGTCATGAAAGACCTGGTTAGAGTGGCAGTATCAGCATGTTCTAAAGAAATTGTTTCATTTCCGTTGTTCAAAATGATTCATTCATGTCTGAGTAATCACTTGTCTGAATGGTACAATTTTTTGGGGAATATGAAGTAACAATTCAAAGTGTAAATCACTACTCCTCGCTCATCTACGCAAGCCTCAAAGCTCATTAACATTATCCATCTCGATCATCTCATAATAGCCTATAGGCACTCGATCGACCTCACTACCATCCCATCGCTCCTATTCACGCCATCTTCTCTTCCCAGACTAGCCACTCCGCAATCAAGTAAATGATAACCATAGCCAAGACCGAAGCAGCAATCCCAACAACAATACCATTAATTATCACAAGCCCGAAACCTGCCATACCGGCACTTTGTAATACCGCAAATACAACACCAGCAGTGACGTTTCCGAGGATCGCCTGGGTAAGTGAGGCTATAGATCCTAATGTAGGTCTGCATTAGTCGACTATCTCAGACGAAGGAGCGACTTAAGAAAGATAACCAACAGGAGATGCATGATGGAAGTGTTGGAAGATTTGGAACTTAATTACCAGCAACAGGACCCAAGGTCACAAAGCCTAAGAGAGCAAGTAATGGTGCGGTAAAAATGCCAGGCCAGATAATCACGAGAATGCTCAGAAGTCCAAGGGCTATTGGAACTCGGTGCTCGCAGATGAATTGAACAAAGCGTGATGTTAATGGACGCACATGAGTACGGTATAAACGATTGATCGCAGAAACGATGCCGTCGAGTGTTGGCCTGACTTCACGACGGAACCATTGTTTGAAGGTGAAAAATGTCGAAGTCAAGGAGGTGGAAAGTACTTTGCAGCCACGTCTAAGTGTAGAGACGAAATTGGTCATTTTAGAAATTGATGGATTTTTGGCTTGTTTTCAAGGGACTTGTATCAGCATGCAGGTTGATCGAGAGTGGACGAGGTACAATACACGTTGTACTTGAATAACTCGAGTCGAGGACTTGAGATCAGATCTTTATAGATATATAGGGGTTTCTAGAGCGTGAGACAATACGATGACTTTCTAGATGGCTCAGACCCTTTCCTAATATCTGACTGATGTAACAAATTATTGTCGATCCACAGCCTTCTCTCTAATTCTTCGAGCGTGTAGGTATGCAGGCTTCCACTACCAGAATCTGATTAAGTTTTACAATGTAGTTTTCTCCCAAAAGTAAATATTTGCAACATTCAAGGATCTTTTTTCATGACTACTTCTGTTTGTTACGGGAAGCTACTTTCGGAGAAATGTGTGTTTGTACCGAGGGTCGACCAGCTGCTTACTTCTTAGGGAATATATGCACATGCTCCACAACAAAGGAAATCTTATTACTCCTGGTCAAGTTGAAAACTGCATGTCCTCTACGTTGAGGTATCATCCACAATGCACAGTTCCTGTCCGAGCTCCCGTGCGGAAAGCTGCATCACGACCCAGATCGCGCGTTTGAAAATTGCAGTTTAGAGATCAAATAAGCTCTAATCCTCCATTTCCTTTGCCCAAGCCCTCGCAGAACTTGTTGGATATCTATCATAGCGTTTCTATATCTTGAAGCGAGCGCAGAGAGATCACTTGGACAAACGGCAGATGGGATATCGAGGTATTTATCATCGTCATTGAAATCGCTACCTGAGATTCCACAATTTCCGCCCCGTTCATCTTAAGGTATCAATTATATCGGAGAATACATGGCCTGGAACCTCGAAGCCCTTACTAAGAGGCAAAGAACTGAGAACAAGCGCAAAATAAGCCGAAGTCCCTGATGAAGAACTGCTAAAACTTATAACAGGAATGAGAGGAGCTTCGTTATTAGACACTTCTAATGGCTCTAGACACTAGAGTTGTACTATTAGATAGATAGACTATAGAAAGAATCGATGATGGGAGACTTGCATTGCTTGTTGCAAACATGTGATTGTACAATTTTGATTTTTGCAGAAGAATCGCAATCCGCACATGTCGCGACTACAATTGAAATAGTAATTGAGTATGGATGGGATGAGTCCTGAAAGGAAGTAGAGGAGTGGATACATTATGACTACGGTTACTGACCAGGTTTATGAAATCAGATCCCGAATTCGAAATTAATGCAGATGAATTAGCGGATCGAAAAGTGATAGTATCTCTATGCGTTAAAGTCAACTATGATAACGAAAAATACTGTGATCAACGCCAAAGCCGTGCATCAAAGAAAACTTGGAAGGATGATGTGGCTGATGTTGGTGGCACTGAGACCTTCTGTGAGAGGATGAAGGGGTCCAGCTCGGTCAGGGACAACGGTTAGCCAAGGATATCAGTTACACAAGCTCGACAAGTTACCAATCACCCCGGTCGAGAAGTCTCTTGTTGCATATCTTAGAGTTTGTGGTTCCGCGGGGTAATGACCGCACACATATCCTGATATTTCCATTCAACTTTCCCAATAATCATGACCAATTAATCTAGGGATGAATAATTGTCAGCTAATTTGTGTGAAATTTCGGGAAAAAGATGACGGCTGGAAATCAATCGTGGCACCATAGAAGGTAGTTATTCTCCCAAGATCAAAAGTTCTTCAATATTGGAAGCTTGCATCTGCTTCGTTAGTGTGGAGTAATTAATACCTTGATCGCATTTCTTCGATTTTCACTATCCTCACAACCAGTAACATCTAACTATTGATGCGGATGCAGAACATACTACTTTGTCAATTATTCGTAATTATTTTATCCTAAATTTTAAGAACAGTAATTGAAGAAAAAAGAAGATTCCCATTTATTTAGTATATCATATCGAGTACAAATACCTATGTTTAGCCATAAAACCCTTCCCCGAATACCGTAGCAGAAATAAGTCGCTAAAAACTTTCAATTAAACATAAGTAAATCACCGTTGGAACCCTGTCCTACTGCAGGTTGATAAACTTGCTCGGGTGCATTCTGATTAACCACATATTGCATCTCGCCTCTTCCAACGGTAGGACTACCACCAAATCCTTCATCCTGTCCATTCAAGTTCATGCTTGCCATTTGCTGGCCAACACCGGCAAAGAACGCATCTGCTGCATCGACTGCTGCAGCGAGATCACCTTGTCCACCGGGTTTCATCATAGGTTGAGAGTTTCCAAATGCAGAAAGTGATTTCTGAGCGTCCAAATCCACATTTGGAAGATGTTGCTTTTGTAGAGCGGGCGAGTCTGTAAGGCGACGTGGGCGAGCGGAACGGAATACTTGCTGGACAGGTTTAAGGTAAACAGTAGCGAGAGTTCCAACGTTAAGGCACATTTCCTCGAGAGTGGCAGGGTCGAGTTTCTCCGATTCAGCTGTGATCGGAGGCTTTTCACCCATAACGATAGCTTTGGCTGTGGCCATATCTGAAGATAGCAGACGCCAGTACATGTAACCTCTGTCCCGCAAATCTGGGTTATCTGTGTCTTCTGTGGCCCATTTCAACACTTTAGGGACAAGTTCTTGCCCTTTTGTTGGCCTTTGAATGAACAGTTTGACGGTCGCCGTGAGAAGAGCAAGTTGAACTTCCACTGGCTCATCCGCGAATGAATAGAGAAAATCTTCAAGTAATACATCAGAGTTTTCTATCCGAGAGGCATATTGTCCGATAACCCAAATCATGGCAGCCTTAGCTTCGGGTTCATCTAGCGAATCCAAATTCTCGCACAATGTGCCAATTATGGACTCGTACTGATTAGGGTACTTTCTGAAAATGTTTCGAATTACCACTGTTGCTTCTTGTACAATGTATGTGACCTTTGTGGCCACTAGCTCCAGCAATGTATTAATACACTGTCTAGCCGCAGGCTCGATTTTGATAGCAAGCTTTCCGATTGCTCGGACTGATTTGCGGACGAAGTGAACATCAATTTCTGTGGCGTATTCTCTCAATTCGGTAAGCACCTCTTGAATGTTCTTTTCGTTCGCCAACATGAAGATCAACTCCAGCTTGGTAACTTTGACATAAATTGGGTCATTATATTTACAGAAGAATACTCGAATATCGTTGCGTAGAACTTCCGGCCTTCTTTGTAATATTAAAAGTGCATTCCGTAATGCGAGATATTGAACCTCTGGACCCTTCGCCAATAGAGTGACTAGAGGGGGTGAAAGCTTCCGGCATAATGCCGATATTTGCTTTTGATCATTAATGTAGTTCATGAGGTACAAAACTACTCTTATGCATGTAAGAACGACTGCAGAATTTGAATGTGATAAACGTGGAGATATACGCTCCGCGAGCAATAAAGCCTCGGAGGACTCTTGTGGAACATACGACATTAAGGCTTCCAAGATATATGTTTGGCCCCACCTGGTAATGTTAGGTCGTTCAATGGGAAATTGGAGAGTAGGATGCTTACTCGGAACAGTCTGGGAGAATTTGAACCATCTTAGAGGCATTGCCGTAGTCAATGGTTAACTTGATAGCATCACTCCTCTCCCAGATATCCATCAAGCTGGCCAATGCACTAGCCACAACCGTTGGGTTATCGTCCCTCAACATCGAATTTAATCTGTCGATTAGATCTGAGCCTTCAACTAAATGCCTATCATGATCGTATAATTTTGCGACACAGAAAGCTGCCGTCTTGCGAACATAC